ATCCATCTATAGATGGATTACTTGTGTCAGGTTTTGTCTATAAATAAATTTGTATTACAAAAACATTTCCAATTCACAGATTACCATTAATAATTTCAATCATCATTCAGGATAATCTTTATTTATCATCTCATTAATGATGTTAAAGCGAAAGAAAAAATTGACCAACATTACGGAAATGATTATTTAATCTAACAACAATTTTTGGCAATAAATGAAACAAAAAAATTTTGACACAAAAAAAACCAAAAACATGACCGGAACAAATCATTTCATTTTTCATAAGAATGTATTTGAGAATGAGATGAACATTTTCAAGTAAATAACGGATGTATTAAAATAAATTCAATCAATTGATAAATGTGAAAATGATGGGCGAGAAAAATTCTGTTTGTTTACACTATGACATCTTTTATTGAGATTTATAAAAAAAAATTCCTTTAAAAATAGAAATCAAATACAAACTTAATCGCAGGAATTATTATTTTATTTTTTTTTGATCTATTTGGCTTAGCCAAATTCTAAATACATTTATATCTGCCTCATCAATCGACACAATCGGGATATTTTTTTTTCTTTTCATTTCTTTGATTAGATTCAATTCACAACAAAAGCAAATCCAAATCATTTTTTTTTCTACATGTCAAATATGCTTTCAGAACAAAAAAAAGCTATAAATTGGAACCAATTTGATGATGGACAAGATAAATAAATTTGATTGAATAATTTGACAAAATTATTATTGCTGTTTGATGCATCATTTGTTCCATTGTATTGAATTGATGGATTTTATCAACTGGAACACTTTTCTGTTTTTTTTGTCTATCTTCAAATTTGACAGGAACAACAATGTATTCTTCTCATCATCCAGACATTATTATGTTTGAAAATTCATAAATATCATTCGCATGAAAATATTGAAAAAGATTTCTGCAAAGATTGAACAATTGCATCCAAAGCATAAACAATCATCATCATCATCAACATGTTTAGGTATAATTAGCTAATCTACAACATACTTGGAGACAAGGAAGCAGATATAAAATTCCCGAATAAAGAGCTCGTGATCGCGTGAGGTTATCGCACGTACACGTATGACCGGAATGATGTTTGCGTGTACAATATTATATACACCAAAGATCATCGAGATCCATAGAAAATAAAAAAAAAAAAAAAAATGACAAAACTTCAGACATAATAAAAAAAAGAGAAAAATTCAATTTTTCTTCCCTCATTCTCTCCTCAAAAAACGTTGTTTTTAGATTGATTGATTGATTGATATATAGATAGAAAGATGTGAGAGATTGTCCATTGATGATGATGAAACGAACAGAACTGAGATTAGCGAATTTCAAATTATTATTATTTTTAATATTAGAATTATGATTGCGGTGGAATGTCTCAACAAATATATGGCCAATGGTCAAAGCTATCACATTGTTTGATTTGTCTGTCATTCACGGCAGATAACAATCTCCATTACCATGATGATGATGGTGATTGCCGTCATGACTGGACCATCATTTATTCGTGTGTGTGTGTAATTGAATTAAATTTTATTAAAAAAAAAATTAAAATTAAACAACAAGATTGTCAGGTCATGGCTATTATTATGAATCACATAAATAACCATACCATCACATAGCTGTGTAGTGTTTATTATCGGATTCAGGAAATCATTACGTTTTTAATAGAAACAGAAAAAGTAAAGAAAAAATCTACTAGCCCATTATCAATGGGATTGATGGATCGAAAAAACTCCATCATGAAAGAGACCACACCATGAGTTTATAAATGCATAGGTGGTGGTGGTGGTGGTGATGATGATGATGGAGGTAATGATGAATGTGATTTCTGTTTGAATTACCTTCAATTGAAAAGAAATATTGAAATTGATTACAACCAAAATGCCGTTATATGACCATTGTCATCGATCACTTCAATTCAATGTATTCATTTGAAAGCAGAATAGATTCAAATTGCAAAAAAAAAATTACAGCCCACCATAATATACACACTGTGAATTCTTCATTCAAATGCATCATCACCATCATCATCATCAGTTTAATTCAATACATGTGCTCAATCCTGAAAATAGATAGATAGAAATGAATAATATTTCATACAATCGATTCATCAACAACAATTGAAACAACAAAAATAATGAAGGTCGATGATACTAGCAAAAAAAACCATTATCATCATCATCATCCATACTGGTCTTTTTAAAGAATTAAAAACTGTTAAACAAGAAATGGCTAAGGTGAAAGAATCGAAAACGACGGCTGAAAATAATTTGAAGTTTAAATGTGAAGAATTGGAGAGAATAAAAAATATTAAAAGTTATGCTCAAGTTGCTTCGTCTTTGAATCAATCTAGAGATGTGCCACGGCCAAACTTTACTTGTATCATTGAATCAGTTGATCCTAGTATACAAGATTCTAAACAAGCTCTTTCGTATTTGAATAGCAAGTTGGATAATAAAAAGATTTCGAAAATGGTATCAAAATTAACCGGCAAATTCCGATTCATGGTAAAAAGGTATTGATCAAGTGTCCTACAAGCAATGATTGTTCGAAGATTGAGAAACTGGTAAATGATATGAATGGTGGGGTCAAGGCAAGAGTATTGGCGAAGAAAAAACCAAGATTGTTATTACTTGGTATTGAACGGGATATTCCAGATGATGGTTTAAAAGATGCTCTTCTGGCACAAAATGATCAGCTAAAATGTCTTATGAATGGTTCTAATGAATTAATTGATTTGGTCATGTCAAAAAATGATAGAGTTGGCTCGAAATTTGCCATTTTCTCCGTCTCTCCTAATATTTATCGATTATGCTTGGATATGAAATTTCTTTTTATTGCAAAACCATTATCATCATCATCATCCATACTGGTCTTTTTTTTAAAAAAAATTAACTTTGCTGTAAGAAAATTGTGAATGATGAGAGAACGAATGGATAATAACTGTAACCACATGTTTCTCCCTGTATTCATATACCCTACTATTGTTTGTTTTGGAAATCCTATGATAAGACTAATGAAACCTGTTGATCAAGTATAAATAAATATATGATTGATTTCTGATAATAATTAACACTTTTAACGATTTTTTGAATTGATTCTTAATGTTAAAGAATTTTTCTCATTCAAAATTATCATTCATTTTTAGCCATTCATCCGTGATAATGATTATGAATGTGAAAAAAAAGAAGAGATCGAGAAAAAGAATTTTGATTCCAACCACAAATATAATTTTACAGGATACAAAATTCAATTTCAATCAAAATGCAATCAAAACTCTGAAAAAAATGATGATGAAATTAATAACATGTATCTTATCAAAAAAAAGAGAAAAAATTATCACTTTGATTCATATTTATAGCAATTTTTTATGTGAAAAAAAACCTGAAAGATTTAAAACAGTAAAAAATAACGGAACCGGGTAGTACTCAATTCAATTGAATTCAATTTCAAAACATAAATAGTACATCCCATCAATCATATTTGAACGAAAACATCAATCATTCAATCAATCAATCGATCGGATCGATCGATCGTTCAATTGAAATATGGGATGAATAAAGCTTTCAAAGCACATATATACAATAAGAGTTAGTTACATAGATTGCATATTCGGTCGTACAAAACTAAACGAAACAACAACAACAACAGCAACAAAAACGGTTTTTGCTAGATCTATCTATCTATCTATCTATTCGGTTACATGCATCATGATCATAATAATAATAAAAAAAAAAATGATTTAAAAATAGAATTCACAAAATGTCTGTCAATTTTTTTTTTTTCATTATGAGTAAAGGACTGACCATTTCTTGATCTCTATCTTTTCGTGTGGTCTTTTTGCGATTCACTCGATATAGACAAAATCATAGTTATTTTTTTTGGTCAGAAAAAAAACGAATGAATAAGTGAATATCTCAATAGTCATTGGTCTAAATTGAATGGAAAAATTATTTTCATATTCATTCGATTGATGGACAAACAAGTACAACGATATTTTATCTTGTCAGATAACAAATGTCATAAACAAACGATGATATATGACAACTTTATTTATGAAAAAATATAATTATAACTATCCAACACTTTTTTTTGTGGGTAGAAAAAAAAATCAGATTAAATAATATTAGACAGTAATTTAGGTCTAGAAATAATAATAATAATAATAATAAAAATAATGGCCAGAATATGATTTCATACATTCAATTTTTCAATTATAAATCATATGATTGAAAGACTTTGATGAAAATCAATTAAATCAAAATCTAATTACTATTCCCGGACCATCAACAATCCCATCATTGATCCACACATACAAACACAATTGTAATGCTGCTATTTTTGAATCAATTCAATAAATGAATGAACAAAAAAAATCGAAATGATAATTGCAAAACTATAGAAACTTTTTTTTTGAAAACAAAAATCCAATTGATGAATCGAATCATGTGAGAAATATAAAAATAGTGAAAAGAAAAATTCGAATATAAAACACACAAACATCTATCAATACAAATATTAGAAAATGGTTAAATAGGAATGCATTTAGCTATTGGCAACCATCATCATCATCATTATCATCATCATCATCATCATCACCACGAGCTAAAATGGTGGTAAATTTACTTAACGATATTCGAATAATACAAGTTTGCTTTTTTTGCTGAGATGATGATTACAAATGTTTGTGGATGTATGGATGTAGTAAAAATAGACCGTTCTTATAACGAAAAAATAAAGATAATGATAAATCCGTTTGGCCAGACATCTACATCATCATTTATCACTTTCATTGATCAAACGAAAAATAAAAAATCCAATCAAAGACTATGTTATACTAGCATAAATGAATTAGTTATGGTTAAACGATGTAAAGGAATTAACATCTCATTACTTGGAAAGACAACCAGGTAGTGATCAACATGAACATATAAATTTTATCAAATTAATTCAAAAAAACATGTGAAAACTTACCGGAATAGGTATCGAATGCGGTTGGTACATATTCAGTTGGATAACCATTGGTTGTATATGATACGATTAAACTAGTCTTACCAATAGCATCATCACCAATAAATACACATTTTAATTTACGTAATTTTTTTGTCACTTTTGTTTGTTGTGATTTTGATGGCAAATTCGACTGTTGTTTAGTATGATGATGATTATGATGGTGATGGTGATGGCTAACCGATAATTCCGTTGATTTAGACATTTTGATCATAATTCATAAATAGATACATAAAGACGAAAACATAAAAAAAACAAACAAACGGAAAAAAACAGGATTTAACAATCACATTTATCCACAATAGACAATCCTGTATCGAAGTTTTTCGGAAAATTGATGTAAACCATACACGACGATATATAAAGGTGGATTGGTAAATGAATTTTAGCAGAAAAAAAAATCATGTGGTCTAAGATTTTGTTTTGTTTTTATCTGATGTTGACGTGATGATGAATACTAAATTAAAAGTCAAAAAAACAAAAAACAAGTCGGATTAGCAGATAAAAATCATTTAATCTATTCACAATGAAACATAATGATGAGGCGAAACCGAAAACAACACTTGAAATAACCCATTAATTTTCAATAATATAAAAAGGGAAATTTTATATTTTGTACCGAAAAAAAATAAATGCAATAATAATAGATATATTTACTTATTTTTCAACAATCTTAACTTTTTCAATAATGACGTTAATCAAGAATTGAATTGAATAAATGAATATTCAATTAAAAATTGTCAGATCATAAGACAATCGATTGGTTTCAAACAAATAGCAACAACAACAACAACAACAAAAAACAATTAAGGAAAGAAAAACATTAAATCAATAAATTATGACCAAGGTAATTGTACCGATCGATTAGTCTTGTGATTCAATATGAAAACCAAAACAAACGGTTTGTCCATTTTTTAATATTTGAAAAAGATTTCATGAATTCCTAAAAGTGTATATCAATTATCGTGAATAATTATTATAATATATAATCCCTTGAGGAAGTTGGAAATGAAAAAAAAAATTTTTCCAAATACACACACACACAATCCTATCATATACGATCAAAAATTAGATCGGATTATGAATGCTAATTTATATAATGAGCATATAAACAAATCACTAAAAAAAATCATTAATACGAAGGCCATGAACGGAAAAAATATTTAAATCAATTGAAAAAAAAATTATAGTAATTATAAGGAAAATTTCTTCTTTTTTTATTCATTCACAAATGATTGACACTTTTTGATCAAAATAAATTTGATTTGTTGGATATTATCATTCATTTCAATCAGATGTAGATAGATAGATATCAGCTTGACGTCATGTGTATACATATAATCAACCAGTGTTAGGAAAATTCAATTTTTCATCAAAGTATCGTTTTTTCTTGTTGCTGTATACGGCCGTACATATAATGTAAATTTTGGCCGATCCAACATTCGATTATAATCTTTAACTGATCCAAACAGATCATGATACTGGATCTTGTATGAACTTTGAGACATTATCGGGAAATATCTACAAAATGACTTGACCATTTTTATGAAACTTTAATCGATTTGAATGATCAATTATTAGTTTTTCAGTATTCGATTTAATGATCTTAACAGATGGATTCAATTATCGATGTCCACACCGGATATATTCAATCGATTTTGAAACGTCCATCATCGATGTAGATCGTATGCATAAAGCAAGGAAAAAAGGAGACAGTCACAAATGATCGATTGCAGTTCTGGCTTGCAAAAAAAAACTTGGGATTTAAAATGCTGACACATGAATGATCTAAGATTTACATAGTTATTTAAATTTTGCCGATCCTTCATTTGAAATTCATTTGAAACGTACGTTTAAAATTATTAAACTAAATGCAATTGTTTGGCAGTCATTTATTTTATCAAATAAACTAACAGTAGGCCAATCGATAACAAATAAAAATTATTGCCATATTTTTCGTTGAACTGAATTTCATAATGAAATTGAATAGGCGAATCACTGGCCAATGAAAGATTACCCTTTATGAACTATATACAAAGGAAGTGAAAATAAAGAAGGCCAAATGGGCTATATTACTCATTCGCTTACAATAATGCATTGAGCAAAAAAAAATGTGAATAATGAATCATTATTGCAATTAACACAAAACAGGATAAAGCCAATTTTTTAACAAATTAAAACTACCGGATATACAGGTAGAATAGTGAGAGGAAAAATTTACCTTTTCATTGTTCGTATTGGTTCATTTGATGTTCATTCTAGTCGATCGATTCACATTCTATGTTCATGTTCATTAACAAATTCTTCATGATCATGCATTGAATTTTTTAATATTTTCAAATGATGTTTTTTGAATAAAGCATTCAATTCGTAGACACACACATACACACAGAAATTCAGAAAAGTTCGACGATCCACAATGACCGACGGCGAATAAATAATGGAAAGCGGGATAGAAAAAAAAAGTAACAACAGGTTGTTGCTTTGTAGATAAACCGCCATTTTACAGTAAAACATAAAACTACTACTATCATGATTGCACAATGAGGTAGAAGCATCTATTTAAGAAACCAAACCTATGGCAGTTCAGTTCATTCTATAACTATCAGGTGAAACTCGTTTTGCTATAACATTATGACTACAAAAAAATAAAAAATTGCGTAAGACTCATTTAATTATCAGCGACATCTATTGATTACGTGAAAATTTTTTAGATTTTTATTTAATTAATTGATAATTGAATTTGTCAGAAATTATTTTTTCAAATTTTAAATTTTCATTCAAAACAATAATAATAATCATAATGAAAGTGATGTTTTCGCGCACAAAAAAACTCGCATGATTACACAATTTTGATTGATAATTGAAAATGAATCGCAAAATGTATGTTTGTCTGTCTGGTTGGTGTAGGTGTGTATATGATGGATGTATGAATGCAATACACGTTTGCTTAGAAAAAAGGGTATCAAAACAATTGAATTGAATTTGAATGAAAATCCAGTTTAAAAAAAACTGGTCAAAGAAATTCACCAATCGATGATGGTCTGGTTTTTTTTCCAGCTACATGTGATCATTTTTAAGTGGAATTATAAATTTGTTTCGGTTCATAAGTGGGTGGTTGTGTGTATTGAAAAGGAAAAAATTATCAAAAAGAAGAAAACACAAAGAAAATTAAGGAGGATAGACAAGATTGAAGGCCGGAACAAGAATATTGGGAAATAATAAACTGTGTTTCCGGTTAGAAATTGAAGGTAAATATTTTTAATTTGAATTTGCGATTTTTTTTATCGAACCGATCCTTTCCGATCGATCCGTGTTTTTCAATGAAAATCAAAAAAAAAAAATAAATGAGTTTTATGACACGCTCAACGAGAATGATGAAAATGATGTGACGAGATGAAAATGAGAAATGGATCTCATCCGATGATGATATCATTTGCATTGTCTGTATATTTACCACTCAGCATCACCTAAAGCTCGTGAAAAGACATAATCTTTGCCTTGCAGATTCATAATACCATCTTTGAAATAAAATTTCCACTTATTCCTTGTTCTGGTGACCTATTCAAGGGCGAAATTCGAAATATTAGAAATAGTATAATGAAGAAAGCAAACTTTCAACCAACTTTATCATATTGACAAACGACGACATTGTCAGTTTCAAAAAGTTCTACTGGATCTTCATCACTGACATCATCTTCTGAATTTAATGGCTCCTAAAATTTTGTCCAATAAGTGGGAAATAAAATTATTGCAAAAAAATGTAAGAAATATTCGAATCATACCTCTTCCACACCAGTTTCATTCTCTTCATCATTCATTTCATCATCATCACCATCGAGATCATCATCATTGTCACGATAATCATCAAGATCATCATCATCATTGGAATCATCACTCGAATCATTAGTTTGATCATGATGGCCATCCAATTGAGCTACACGACCACCACCACCTGAACTTGGACGAGATTGTTGCTGTTGACCAATTGAGTGTTGTTGTTGTTGTTGCTGTTGAGCTCCACTTGTCAAAACCGTTGGCGTCAATACAGAAGTGAGTGTCGTCGGTAATGTTGTTAGAACTTGACCACGAACCAATTGTTGTAATGGTGATGATGTTATGCCTACATTTGGTTGAACGCCTGTTGCACGAATTGCTGCATATGGAATGGTTCCAGGAGCTATGCCTATGAAAATATTTGAAATTGAAATTTAATATTTAGACTGACGAATAACGAACCTTGATGTTGAAAAACTGGCTGTGCACCAGGTGCAGCATGTATGATGCTACTACCATGTTGAAGATTGATTGAATTTAATAACTCAGGATTAATAACGAATGTTCCAGGATGATTCTAAAACATCATCATACCAAAGGTACAATCATTAAAGATAAATCATTTGAAACTAGAAAAAACTTACCATGTTATTTGGTAGCATTATAAATTTGCCAGGTATCACTCCAGGTGGAAATTTGACTTCCTGTATAGAAAGGAAGTGAAAAATAAAATTGGTAAAAAGTTAGTAAAATCTAATAATGAATGTGGGTTCGATCAAATTTTAAAATCGGCATCATTTAGAGAATCATTTTCTTCTAGAAAAAAGCACACAAAGAAAGTAATTATACCAGATCGGGTTACTGGTTGGGAGGTAGGTGAGGAAAACACACAGACACAGAGATGCATCGAATTCGGGTGCATGTGTTGGTGCTTAAATATTAGAAATACAAAGGTGACAATGATTAAAATGGGAACAAAAAGATGTATACGGATTTTGACACGAAATAAGATTGCGAGAAAAATTTTTCCGAGATTAACATTTAGAAAGAGATCAAGCGATAGATAGCGATTAGATTGTAACAGCATTGTAAGCAAAGACTATCGTGTTCAGCAACAACAACAACAATAAGACCTACAACCTTATGTGAAGAATTTGACATATGTGAAAAGCCACCAATACCAATATTATTATTACTACCACCACCACCACCACCAACAATGTTATTGTAATGGCTTGTTCCGGCATTACGATGTACAAATGGTCCGGAATTGGAAGTAGAATTGTTTGATGATGTAGCAGCATATGCGGATGAATATGGCGATGTGGATGATTGATTAAATAATGAATCAATATAATATTGTTGAAGCATTTGTTCACGATAACGGTTATTAGAATTCGCCTCTGTTGCTGCTGCTCGATCATGACGAATTAATGAGAGATTCGTACTTGTACCCGTCGATAAATTGAATGGTATAGATTGTGATACGGGATAACCATGTTGTCCACTACCAATGCTCAGAGGATGACCAAGACCAACATGGCTACTATCTTGGGAATTCATTCGTGCAATAATTGCTGCATCAGCTAAATCATTCAGATTATTCTGTTGCTGAGAGGTATGAATCGATTTTTGACTATTATTGCTGGCTTGTCGTTGCTTGTTAGATGGACGATTATCCATTCTTATACGTTTATGATTATTACTACTATTGATTGTATCGCTATTATGATGCCTATTATTATTCAAGTTATTATCGCTACTGCTTATCGCTAATGAATTGACATTCTTAAATGTTGATTGACCCTGTAAGGAAGAGGTGTTTGCTGCTGTTGTAGTTGAAAGGGGTGAAATAAAAGATCCTCTAACACCAACATCACTATTACCAAGCCCATTAGTGCCTACACCAATATTGGAGTAACTAGAACCACCACCACCACCATCGACAGACCCGACAATCATTCCGCTAGCTAATGTATGTTGAATATGTTTTCCACCACCACCACCACCAGTTTGCCGTTTATTTGTTTTTTGAGTTAACGAGGAGGAATTTGTTGGGGAAGTTGATGATGATACCTGTAATAATGTTGGCGTTCCTGCATGAGCTCCACCATTTGGAGGAGCTGAAGTGGCCATACCGATAAATCCGTGTTGTGATTGCGGCTGTTGTTGTTGTAATGAATGCGTATTCTGAACGATGGCTGATGCACGAAACATTGCCTGTTGTTGTTGTTGCTGGGGATGATGCCCGGATGTAGTCACCAGAGTGGGTGTCGCCACCGTTGTTACAACAGTTTGCTGCGATTGCAATTGATTAGCGACCATCACAGTGTTAGGAGAAGCGGTTATCGTTTGTTTTTTCGAGGTTGCGGCCATCGCCGTTGTAGCCACAGTCTCATCGGAAATTTCTTTTTTTATTACTTTCGATGAGATATTGTTAGAGGTTTTGGTATTAGATGCATTGCTGTTACCACCATTTTTTTGAACGTGATTTGGATTCGATGTAATCACTGATGTTGTCTGACCTTGACCGGTATTACTTTGCTGTTGTTGCTGCTCACGATCTTTTTTCTGATGACTATTTTTCGATGACTTTTCTGCTTTTGATGAAGAATTTGTAGTTGTCGTTGCCGTATTGGTTGTCGTTGCAGTTGCCGAAGTTGTTGTCGATGGTGATGCAGCTTGAGCTTGAGCCTGTTGCAATGCATGTTCAACAGCAGGCGATTCCAATACTTTACGTTCCCATGTTTGTTTCATTTCCTGTATGACTTGTTCATCGATTCCATCATCCAGAAAAACCTCCCGAATCGACGCGATAACATCATCAATGACAGATTTGTAAAATTTTGGCTATTCATAATAAAATGAAACAAATTAGTATATTCAAGAAAAAATAATTAAAAAATTTTAAAATAGCATTTTTTAACGGCACCAGGTGGCGCTCATTTCTTGGCGAATAAATGATAATTACGACAATATCACGTGAATGCGGCGGACGAGGCTTTAGAAACGTATCCAATGAACCAGAGGCCGAAAGATGAACGACCCCGGTGGTACCCGCATTATTATTATTATTATTATTATTAGAAATTGTCGTTCGACAGCCACAACAACCATGATGGTGATGGTAATTCTGTTTATGATGATAAAATGATGGTGGTAATGGTCGTCGGGATGGTGAATGAAAAAAACTTTGGTTATCTAATTGTTGTTGACGGTAAGGGTGCCAAGCTAGCGATGATGATCGCTGAGTACAGGGCGGCTGATTATTCTGTGAATAAGGAATCGGATATGATGATGATGATAAATGACCATAACTAGAATAATGCTGTTGCTGGCATCCATTCCACGGTCTTGATGATAAATAACTACCCGTTGTTTGATATGGGGTTGATCCTGTAATATTCAAAGGAATTTGTTGCCGTGGACTTTGCCATCGATTACAATTATCTTTTTGTTGTTGCATTATATTTTTGTTGATAAAAATATAGGAACTTTTTTTGTGATGAACTTTTATCCGTGGTTGTAAAATTCGAATTACAATTTTATTGTTTATATACTTGATTCATTTTAAAAATGAAAAAAATCGAACCAATTGAATTAAATTCGAAGGCAAATATACGAACAAAAATCAAATCGAATCGTTCCATTGCGATCGTAGTAAAAGCAAACAACAACTGAACAAATTGTTTGTGTTATTTTGTATGGTTGAAAATTTTCAAAACAACTACTATCACCAACATAATGATGACAACCTGTTGTCATCATTCAATACAACCATCACCATCATCACCATCATGAATGAAAAAACTATCATCATTATGGATATAAATGCCTTTCCGATAACAAATACAAAGCTATCTATTCAAAAAAAAAAAAAAAAAAATTAAAAACACTCACCACAGATGCAGCGGCCATTTTATAATCAACTTGTAAAGAATTTTTCCACGTTTGTTCGCAAAAGATTGAATGAATTAATGCAGACACACACGTGTGTGTCCGTATTTCGAATGTTCAAATGAATAAATTCAAATAAAATCTGGATGTTATTGATGAGACACGAATAATTATTGGAAACAAACGATGGTTACAGATACGATATTCGAAATTGCACAACCGGATAATAAGTAATTTTGATGAAATCAATTAAATTGACGAGTTTTTTGATCAATTATTGTGGTCTTATCTGAATGATGATAATGAGTCAAAATAGATAGTGATAAGGCAAATGATAAAGATTGAGATAGTGAGCTAAACTAAAGTGGAGTTGGTATTGTGCATATAAATATAACGTCAATACGATTGATTGAAATTGAATAAATCAATTATAAGATGGGCAACGATGATATTTTGATGATTGATTGTTTTTTTGAAATGTTTGCAAAAATGCCATTAATTTTGCAGTGTTGATTCTGTACAGCTTTGATTGAGATGAATGGCGACAGATGTGTATTTTGCTTTGTTTTTGTTGTTTTAAACTAAGAATTTTAAACAAATGAAGAAAAATTCAAAATTTCTTTGAAGAACAATCAACAGAAAAAAGAACATATTCACTTACCGGTGATTAAGATGATGATTACAATCGATTGTAAAAATTTCGGACACAAAAATGATTGGCAGATTTCTGACATTCTATTTATAGGTTGAATTTGAATGTCATTATACAATAAGGTGTTCAACAATAAACTCAATTCAGATGATGGTCATTGTCATCATCAGGATAAACACATACAAATAGATCAACCTGTCAACCATCGGACATATATGAATTGAAATAATTTTGACAAATTAAAACCAATTGATCTTTGTTTTGCAATTAGAATCGTTGTTTTTTCGAGGGTTCAAAAGTCAAAATTTTTGTTACGTTATTTAAAATAAAAAATATTCTTAAAGTTGTTTTGATTGTTTGATGAAACTCAAACAAAACATTATTTATCCCGTGTGTATGGATACGAACAGCAGACCAGAACGCCAAATTTCACCCATTGCCATCTTCATGATGATGATGGGAAAATATTGTTCTATCCTCCATCATCAATCTCAATGCCGTATAAGTAGTAGTGGTTCATTATACAGACCAATTGATGAGCATGCTCAAACACAATCCACATTCGAAATAATAACGACGGACAATCGTCGCAACGAGATCGGTTCTGTCGTATTTATATATACTGGCTCTAAAGTAGGTTTGTCGATACGAAACCTCCTCTTTTCTTCTCTTTTCATCATTTGTCATTGTTGATGGTGGTTGTAATACAGACGATCCTCGACTAACAAACATTCGATATGTGAACATTAGTTTGAATTATTATTTTTTTTTTTTGCTTCACTTTTGTAATCCTGATTCGAACTAAGACAGAATGATGTGGAAAATTAATCAAAAAAACCTAACGGACACAGAACAAATTGTAGAAAAGAGATGTTAATAAGGGGTAAAAATTAAGATTGAGATTTTTGTAAAAACTAATCATCTCAGGAAATCAGGAAAATTTCAAAATTGAGCCCATAAATCGAACTTGATTGACCAAGACATTTTTGGCTGCATCAGTGTTGTGTTAATTGGAATAATGATTTACTAACTTTCTTCATTTTGAAATTCTGAAACTAGCTCTAATACAATTTGATGATATTTTCACACTATCATGATTGTCAACAGGTGTCGTTATCATATCTTGCATTTTTTTCGAGTGATGACTGTATTTTACTAATATAATTGTTGTAGTGGCACTTATTGTTAAAAGATTGGGTACATATCTTACCATATATTCACAATTTTTTTTTCAAATAAAAGCTCATGCGATATTTGTAACTATTCATAAATGAAATGTTCAATTTGTCCGCCTTTTTTCTAAACAATATATTGTGAACTCATTTTATTCAAATTACGAAAATTTATTTTTTTCCGTTATTATCAATAAAAAATAACCAATAATGAATAATAACCGTCATCATACGGAAAATGATTTGGAAACAATGATTGAAGAATCCATGTTATTCGATATTCATAATCCAATTGGTGAAAGAGATGTAGAAATGTCAACGAATTTTATCGAAGATTCTGGTGTCGACGGTTTCATGTCATCCTCAGCATTTGCCAATAATACTGACGATGATTCATTTTTTCGATTTAGACGAAATCTATCCTCATCGAATGATCTATATAGTTCAAATATCAATATGACCACTATGACAACATCAAAATCAATGTCTTTATTGTCCAATGAATCATCACGTGTCCGTGATATATTCTATTGTTCGAATTATTTTGATCTCAATGATATTCTTTCACAAACGATACGTTTATCAGTTAAATTTCAACGTACAATACCGAAATTGGGTTATTTAGATCCTAGTCAACAACAGCACCAAGAGGAAAGTAGTGATGACAACATGACTAGCCATGATATTGCCATTGGAACAAAATTAGAATTGCCATTATGGATGGTAAAAGAATTGAATGGTGATCGTGCCGTGATGGTTAAATTACCTAAAGGATATAATCTAATTTATCGAGAAATTCTTGAAGCCGATGCTAATTGTGTTAATCTACATAAATTAGGACCGAATTATTATCTAAGTGGTCGGCATTTGACCGGTATGAATTTGGCCGAAAGTGAAGATGTAGCCATATCTATGTTACGTACATTTAAGCAACGATTTCGCCGTTTGGTTAATTTTGCTTTGAGTGGCAATACTTGTGGCCGTAGTGGTGTTGGTACTAACGGTTCATTATCCAATATGGATGATAATGGTGATTCATTACATGAATCTACATGTTCATCGATATCGAAATTAGATTCAATGATTAAAACCGATCAACATGAACGATTTTTACGTGAAACAGGCAGTAAAGGTCCAACATCAATAACTGATGAAACATTGAACGATATGAATCAATTTGTTAGTCGTTTAGATAATTGGGAACGTGAATTATTAAACGTTGGTCGACGTTTAGCTAGCCAAATGAAATTATGGGAAAATCGTGAATTGATACGTATAAGAGCTAATGAAATGGTTATAAATCTTAGAAAAAGAAAAATCCTCCTTAAAACGACCATAGCGACCGAGTGATTTGATAATCATCATCATCATTATTTTATTACTATTATTCTAATTGGCCGCCTGTGATAAATAATTTTTTTTTCATGAACCTTATCTATGATAAATGGATCAGTAAATGAAATTTTATTCTTATTGTTTGTTTGTTTTGCCTTGCTTATGTTTGTCCGATACGTGGATTAAATGGATGATGAGACAATTTTTTTCATGTTTTGAACATCTTCGAATGGATGTGGTTTGTATTTATCCAGTTTATTTCTCATTGCTAATTACTATTTCTTTCTGTTAATTTGTTTAGCTACTTGAAAGAATTTGGCTATGTTGAACAAAGTTGTCAACAATATCCCAATGATTATTCAGCTACAATGGATTAAATTGAGAATTGGCCTTTTTTCCATTGGTATTTTAACATTTCATTGATTTTGAATTTTGTGTTGATGACTATTTTTAAATCAATCGTTCAAATCATTTGTAAAGGAATAAACAGACTGAACAGTCTGTTTAACAAAAGTATATTTGATTTAAATGGACCGTTGATCTTGGTTAATATAACTAATTGAACTCAATAAAAAAAAATTATTTTTCTTCATATGTATTATTAATATATTGATTCAATGATTTTCTAGTTGGACAAAAATCGTCAATTCTTCAAATCATTTTTTATCTTTACAAATAGATGGCAGTCACTTGACATAATATTTGAGCTACATGACGGAAATTCAAAATACAATTTTTTTGACAATGTCTACAGTCAGTGTTCTAATCTTGAAAACAATACAATATATGCCGGCATGAACATCCGATTGATAAGAAACAAAATATAAATCGCATTCAATTGTCGCATCACATTACTATGAATGAGAGAATTTTTTATACAAATTAAAAATAGCCACATTTAACAACCTACAGATGGACATTTTTTTTAACAATAAAAAAAAAAAAGATGGACATTTTGTTTGAAAATTTTTTTTTAACAATAAAAAAATGAATTCAACTAATTCGCGCACAATCCTTTTTGTTTGTATAGAAAAACATGGCTAATATCATCAAAATGGATAATGATAATAAAGGGATCCGAAATTCAATGCCAAATTTCCGAGAGACAATTTTTTTTATATATATAGAATTACAATTCATCCATAGTTCAAAAACATGATTATTGTGGCAGGATATTATTATTATTATTATCAACATAAAAATGATACACTCTATATAACAGAAAATAATATATTGTATTATATTTAACGAATTCTTAGAAAAAACAAGAAAAAAAAAATTTTTTTTTTAGCTGATTAGATTTGTTAAAACACATTGATGATGCTCTAACCAATTGGAATTATATTTTGTAATCCGGTTCCATGATTACACTTCAAATAATGAGATAAATTTTTCCTCGAAAAAAAATAACCAAATGATTTCATCAGCAAGAATATATTGATAATATTTGCTTTTCCGAAATAATTTCCATTTTTTCTACACAATAACAAAAGAGTCCTTTGGATCGAACAAATTATTTTTTTTTTTTTAGTGGTATTCACCATATATAAATGTGGGTGAATGTTGATTCCAAAATTAACCCAGAATACAATAAAAATTAGATTCAACCACTCACTCACACACATACATAAAAATGAATAAATGAATAGACAAATTATTCAAATGATTATTATGATTGTGTTTGTATGTATATTTGGGAGACAAAATTAAAATGGAATGAATGCTGACAATGCTAAAATTATCGAATGAACAATGTTTTTTCTATTTCTTTAACAAAGAAATAGAAAAAAAAATGAATCTCACCAATCAGACCAATGACCATGTAATCATCATATTTATTATATTGAATATTTTCATTCAAAAGTAAATCAAATTATCATTTTTGTTTTGAAAATTCTTCATATTGGAAAAATTGTTATTTAAAAGATTAAATTTTGTGGTTTTTTTTGATTTGATTTTTTAAAAATGATTTTTGCACTTGATCATCTGTAATTTATTACAACGTAACTTTTTTTTCCAAAGATAGATTCTAAGATCTAGTTTCTTACCATCGATGCAATAAATATCAGAATTTCATGTTATATATGTATATTACTGTGAGCATTTGCAATTTCAACCAAGATTTACGAACATTCAGTTCAGATCTTTTATTTTTTCTTTTCTGAAGATTAATTTTGATGTACTTGAATCCATTTACGAGATAAATCAAAACTTTAAAATTACGAATAAAATTGAAAAAAAAAATATTCAATAATAAATATTTGGCAACAAAAACAACAACAATCATAACATTGGTAAAATTACATTGAAAATGAAAAATTATTTCCATAATGGGGTTGTTTGTTAATTTGTTGCACTAAACTACACTGTTAAACTGCACAATTATTTTAAATTAGAGAACTTTTAAGTTTTGTTTTTCGCATACGTCATTCGTTTGGTTATACAGTTAATCATTCATAATGTTTTGATATTTTTGATGATTTAAAAATTTATTTTTCTTATAATTTATCAATTGAATTTGTATAATGGATACTATAACAAAAAAAATCCCTACCCCTCCCATAAACATTAATCACAGAACCGTTTATCTGTCTGTGTTTGTCTTGACAATAAATAAAAATTCATTTATAATTAAAAATCAATCAAATGAAATCGATAACATATAAAAAAATAGATAGATATATATCTGGAATAAATCAAAATCAAGATTTATGATTAATTGTGTTCAAAGTTCAAATAAATCATTATCGTCATCATCATCATCATCATAATCACAAAACTAATAAAAATCAATGCACATATACTATGGCGAAAATAGTGGAATGTCAAAAAATAAATCCAATAACTGCAATAATTTAAGCGATTACATTCATTATTCATATCAAATATCATATAAAATGATGATAATAAAATTATAAATCAAAATGAAACAAAACGTAACTGTTCTTATTCTGATTAAATGATGATGATGATGACGATGATCATTGCAATCAGATTGTATCATGAAATTGGTAAAAATAAAAAAATTTAATCAACCAAATAATTAATGTTTTTTTTTCTGCAACGGTAAATTATTACCAGAACAAATCCATTTGGAATGTGAAATGTAAATTGACTGACTAGTGATTGTGTCTATAAGTAACAAAAACAGTTTGTGTGTGAGTGTGTGTGTTGTTAAGGTGTTAATCAAGCGACTCAAATTGAATCTATATTTGATTTGGTGTGACATCATCATCGTCATCATCATCACCATCAATAGACTAAATAGCAACAAAAAAAAAGAATTGTAAAGAACAATACCAAAGATATCTTTTTTTCCTATTTGTCATTCATTGGTAAATTGATTCCAACACCAACCACTGTCATTTTCTAATTGAATGGAACGAATGATGACGAATTGATTCCTATTGAATAATAATTTCTATTCATTGAATTGTAAAACACTTTTTCGTGACATGTACTTATAAGAGACAATATAGGCTAATAAAATAATTATTATTATATTATACTTGTCATCACCGTCATCATTATAATCATCATTGTTATATATTATATATAATTAAGATGAGAAATAAATTCAAATGATGATGACAATTATACAGTGATTATTGTGATTTGATACAACATATGGTCATATCAATTACAAATGGCAATACAATGATGAAAAACACAATGTCATTTCAAGTTTTCAATTACAATGACCTCCTTGCCATGTTTGATCAGCCATATCATTATTATTTATGATTTTTTTTTCATTTTTTTTTGTAAACTATTCGAATCAATCAATTTACTCAATCAATGAATTTTATAAGAGAAAAAAATATAAATAAGAATTAGAGATTAAAGATATAATGTTACAAATTAATAACAAAAAAAATGATGATGATGATGATGATAGTGATTATATTGCCTATGCATGAAAATCAAGTATTTGTAAATGCATTTATTTGTATATGAAGAAAAAAAATGAATGAAAAAAAAATTGGAATATCGAGTCGGAAACACGGCGATATCGATTGGAAATAATCTGATTCTTCTTTTCATAGTTGTTGTTTACCACACCTCAAACTCTATTATTATTATTATGGAAATTCATTGAATAGAAAATAAAATCTAGTCAAACGTTGGTTTCAATGAGTTATTTGAATATCGAAAAGCAGTTGAATAGTAACAATAAACTAAAAAATAGGCGTTATTAATAAATAAAAAGAATTGTATGTAGTGAATGTGTGTTGAAGATGGAAGAATCGTGAAATTCATTAGAAAAAAAACTATCCATTGATTACTTCTCTTTAACTAGAATCAATTGATACAAGATTTTCATTGATAATCAAACATTCATCATCATTAGTTGAAAATGTTAAATCAATGCATGCCATATATACCAATTTTTCATTCTTTCATTTCATCTTCATTCTTTTTAGTGTATGTCCCTAAAAAAAATTTTATCGCAATCGCACTCACATACAAACACATTTATATCCGAACAAATGATGGTGAAATCATTCAACCATTCACCAGTTATTCGAACCTATTTGTTTCGAGAGTTTTCTCGATCCAAAGCTAGAACAACAAGGTGATAGCCATACAAATAATGTTTCTGTTTATGTATCCCATTTATATAATGGTTGAATGATAATCAGGGAAAGAAAAAAAACCGAAACCAAACCAGACCATAGGCAAAGGTGCCTTTTTCCATGTTTGTTGGTGTGTTTGTGTGTATGATATCAAACTATATGGTGTCCACCTTTTTTTGCAATTCTATAGAGTAGTCGTTTTTTATCCATATGACGCATTGCAGGTGCATATGTCAGAATAAACAGTCATTGGTGAAAAACTGCGTAGTTTGTTCAAGGAACAAATTCCGTTTCCCATTGAGTACGGTTTCTCTTGGACAGATGAAAATCGAGTTATTTGAAAAAACAAAACCATTTGTGTTGTTTTGTCATCAATGAAAAAAAAACTAATTGATCACTACTATTTATCGATCTGTCAATTCATTTTTTTTTTACAAGGGAAGATTAGAAAATGATTATGATTTTTTTTCAAATCGAAATTTTCTATCCGACTAAAAAAAAATTTCAGGACCATTTTTTTCCGAACCAAGGTCTCAGAGAATCTGTGCTTTCTATATAATTAGAAGCCAGGAACTAGATCATTGGGAAAAAACAAAGCCAAAAAAAAAAGTTGATCAAACTTTAGGCCCTACCATCTTTCTATATTTATTTTATATACAAAACAATCTTACGATACTCATTTATTTTATTGTCATTTTTTTCTGACAATGGAACAGCCAGTAAAATTTTTTTTTTTTTTGAACATTATTGCATCTATGTGTGCGTGGCCACTATACCATTTGAGGGCTTGCACACAAATATAGATAGGAATCATAAGAGAATACGTGCATTGCGTACGAGACGGTTAAAATATTCGAAAATTTGGTTCAACACTACATATATTACTCCATATCTAATGGGCTCCCTGAAACATTAATGCGACAACTTGGATCATAATGACACCAATGACACTAGCTAGCACTACTTATACAACAGAAGCCCCATTGATTCTCCTTGAAATAATTCTCTTCATATAACAATTTTTATATCATACCAATAATGGTTGTTGTTGTTGTTAGAAAACAAACTTTTGGAAAACTTTCAATAGAATTTGAATGAATGAAAATACAGTAATAAAACTGCTAACTATGCTGCTATTGAAAAAACCAAAAATGATAATGATTGACAAATTGATAACAAAAACTACATTTTAATGATGATTAGGTTTATTATTCGGACTATAAAACAATTCTTTTAATTTTAATTTTTTTTTCAAGACAATCGGATTTAAGAGTTGGATAATTGTAATCTCTCTCTCTCTCCTCTATCACCCACTCTCAGAAAAAAAAATTTTGTTTCACAATGTCATCCATCTTTTAGTTACCGGACGGATCCATCAAAGAGTAAGTGAGTGAGGAAGAGAAATGCCGGTTATTTGGGCACATTTTTTTTATATATATAGATTTTGAATATCAACTAATATTACAATGACAGTCATGATGTTGATGGTTGATCATCACAACATCATAATAATTTTGAAAATATGTAGTCCAACATATATACCAATCAGATAAGGCGCATGTTCTTGAGTGTGATCTCGCTCTCTCATTCCTCGTGATGATCCAAAACGGAACTCCAATCCAAAAAAAAACGATATTTCTTCGACCACAGCCACATATAGAGTGTTTGATTCACGAATTTCAAATTCGTGGTATAGTTATTTTTTTGGATTTATCTCATACATACATAAATACATCCCCAACCACCAGAGTCTTTTTTGGACATTCGCAAAGTCAAGAACGAAGAAAAAACTCTAGAAAAACAATGGCTATTAGCTACACACACACACCTACTTCAAGTATCTTCGTTTTTGGGATTCTATATATACAAATGTTTCACTTTTCATGATTCTACAAAATACATATGAATTATATAATTCACCTTTGTTGTGTATAACTTGATCATAATCGATATATTCCTTCTAAAACAACCACTATTTCATTCTATATACAGTTATGGCTAATGGTCACAATTACAATATAACGGTATCGGTATCCAATGAAATCTATGGATACATGGATTTTGAGATCCACATAGACAATGCACATGCACACACATATATTTTCGAAGGACGACATTCGATTTCCATTGGAATCGATTGCCGACGGAATGATGATGACACAACAACAACAAAAAAAGGGGAAATTTTCCTCATTTCCTATACCGCCTTTATGGCTTCCTATGATCAATATACGCATGTGTGTGTATGTTCACAATTACATGGTTGAGTCATCGAGGAAGTGGTTGTAACTATAATGTATACTACTTCCACTTAAACCAAAATTGTCCAACCGTTTTTTTCGGCATAAGCTTTTTACGCATTCTCAATTTTACAATCAGGAAAATTAACGAACTTTCGGCAGAAACATAAAATTACTATACTACTACTGTCACAATTGAATATGCTTTTTTTATGTTTTTTCATAGCAGTCAATAAAAATGTTATCACATAACCGTAGTACTTTGAAATAGTAGCGAGAGAAAAACTGGTTTCTTATTTGTATTGAAAAAAATTGTGACCAAACCAATAAACCGTAGGGAGTAGTAGCCGCCATTATGTTGTGGGTGCCGTGTATTCTCCTGCACACAATATTCGTTTGATTTTTTTTGTTCGTTTCATATTTCTGGCTACCTTCAGTTCATTTCATTAGTATTTTATGTTTGCATTGTGAGAGTCTCATTGGTTCGCTCAATATCTTGTCGTTTGCTTTCTATTTCTCTCCGTCTCTCTTTTGATTGGTGTTTTTGTATTATTGCTCGTTTCATTCGATTTCAAGCCATTTTTTCCTCTTTGCTCTCTCACTTTCACTCCTTTTTCTTGTTCATCCACGATAACAGCAACCACATTTTTTCCAACTTGAAATATAGAAAAAAAATAATTTTCATCAAATATCACCCAAAAAAACATCTCAGCATATATTTCTAATCAGAAAAAGAATTAGAAACGAAAAAGTAATTGTCTTCATCATAACAAATCCTTTTTCGATTGAACCATTCATCATCGTTTGTGTGAAACATTTTTTTCGAATTTTAAACTCTTGTTTTTAGTGTATATTTCATACCAGAACTCGGACTTGACCACTTTGAACTTTGTGTGTTTCCATTGTTCAAATTCAACATCAAAATCAAGAACAGTGTTGTTTTGCAGGCAAAAAAATAATTTTTTTTTCTTGTTTGAAAGTCAACGCCATTCATGCCAATATAAAGCTACATTATCGTATTACATACTCATTTACACATAAAGTCTCAGCGATTTATTCAACCACCAATCTCAATATTTTAGATTCATTTATAACATCACACACACAACATTCGATCGGCAAACACGTCCATCCATTCAAGTTTGACAAAAAAAATCTAATCAAACTCGTCATTTTTTCATTATTGTAAAAGTCAATTATATCAAAATCTCAAATCATACCAATCGATAATACATTCTCTTTTCAACACATTCATTTGGCTGTGTTTTTGTTTTTTATTTAGTTTCATTTCACCTGATCATTTCCACATTTTTCAATAAATCTCATTTCAACATATACTAAACATAAAAAATATGGTGAGTGTTTTTATTATTCCTATATTTTTCTATATTTAATCAACCATCAGATTAGGCTTGTGATCAATATCTAAATCAACATTTTTGGTTCCATAAGTTGTGACACACAGATTCAGTATGACTAGATACATATTAAATAAGACAGGATAGTTCCATTTGAATTTTTTTTACGAACAATTAAAATTCAACTAACAATTTAAGCTTTGTTTTTGGTCAAATTGGTGTGTGTGTACGTGCCGGCTGTTTGCCACATTGCCATATTCTTTTGTGGCAAATAGAATTTTTATAATCACACCGACAACGATGATCGACAAAACCAAACTTTCATAAAAAAAATTGCCGAATCAAACCCCCAAAGTAAAAGCGAATTTTTTTCCTTTTGCTCTTGCATTGGCCGTTTTTTTAGTTTTTACATTTCTCTTGATTACAATCATCTATGGTGTGGTAGTGGTGGCGTCTATATCGTCGGTTAACTTAAATGGCTGCCACCGCCATAAACGTTCTTTTACATCGAAATACATGTTTGTATTGTCGATGTTTATGTTGGTGCAAGCTAACCATCTCCACCGAGTCGATTTTATTGTATAAGAGCAAACAGCATGTATGCCTGCTACTGCTGCCGCTTCTTTTGATTCTTGGTCTCCATCAATGTGTTTGATGGTGTTGCTGTCTTCATTTTTGTGTTTTCAAGTTAAATAAAAAAATTCATACATATCTTAGTCCATACATTTCATATGGTAAGGTCCAATCATTTTTGTATAGTTAGAAGAATATATCTAATCTAATGATGTTGATAATGATTATAATGAAATGAGATTATTAAATTTATTTAATAAAAAAAGTGTAATTATATTGTACAAAGAAAATTTTTTGCATAGATTTTGATTTGTCTGCCTTTTTATCTATCCAATGCTACCGCTTTCGGTAAAAAATTCTCATTACTTTGCTTCCTATCCTATGTTTTACGATTCGATTCGGATGGTTAATGGTATCCAGGACCTTGTAAAATGAAAAGCCGAACTATGGTTTTTTTCCAAATTTTGATTGATCAAGTTCTACATTAAATGATGATAAACGATCATTCTATGGTTTTAACGACACCATGTTTGATCAGATTTTCTATTTTAGAGGCTAAAATTTCATTTTATCTTTACGCCCTCTTATTTTTCGATAATGTGTGAGTCATTCAATAATTTGGTTTAGTTTTTTCCATGGACTTTATTTATTTCTTGGCCTTGTTTATTATTATTATCGAATGAAAAACATACATGGCGTCGTCGCGTTCGATTGTGATGATGATGATAATGGTGGTGGAAAAAACCAACGCCTATCCATTTCAATAACACGATAGTCGATTTTTTATGCCTATGTGGTCGATCATGTTTTGTGTCTGTGTACAATTTGATTTGGTTGTCATTTTTTCTAGTTTCTCAAGTTGTCAAATTGCATTGTCATCTATGTGACAACTTTAAGACTGTATTTCACTGTATAGATGACATTTCTCTCTCATTGAGGTACGATTGAAACAATCGTTCAATTATCACTTGGACTCTTACGATCTTATACTTGTTTGTCAATAACAATAATAAATAGTAATATATAATAATGGTATTGATCCGTGAAATTTGAAATCTTTGAATTATATTAATTGATGATTGATTTCCTTTAATTGATATTGATAAAAATTTTTTTCCAATTTATTCAACACTACTAATTTTCATTTTTTATTTCCACTTATTACCTCATTCAATACAGGCGGATCAATTGACAGAAGAACAAATTGCTGGTACGTGACAAATTTAAATTCATGATGTTTGATTTTCATTTTTTCTAATTTTATAATTATTCAACAGAATTCAAGGAAGCATTTTCGCTGTTCGACAAAGATGGTGACGGTACTATCACTACAAAAGAATTGGGAACAGTCATGAGATCATTAGGACAAAATCCAACTGAAGCTGAATTGCAAGATATGATCAATGAGGTAGATGCCGATGGTAATGGTACCATCGATTTTCCCGAATTTCTAACCATGATGGCACGTAAAATGAAAGATACCGATTCTGAAGAAGAGATTCGTGAAGCTTTCCGTGTGTTCGATAAAGATGGTAATGGCTTCATTTCAGCTGCTGAGCTCAGACATGTGATGACCAACCTTGGTGAAAAGCTCACTGATGAAGAAGTCGACGAAATGATTCGTGAAGCCGACATTGATGGCGATGGACAAGTTAATTATGAAGGTATGTGACTTTTTTATCCTTATTGCTCCTCATCTAATAGTATTAGCTGATAGTTAATGTTATTCAATCAATCATCACAATCGACATACAGTTTGTTCCTTGACAAACAACAACAAGTCTTATGTAACCAAATTCATCACACCTACATTCATTAGACAGGAAAGCCAGCTTTACATAAGATAACTTATTGACGCAAAGAATGACGAATATGATAGTAATGCTTTTGATATTCATGTTTTAGACTGTCCATCATTTCAATGTTTTCCCTATAAAATATATTCATAACAATGACGTTTATCGATTGTTTAATTTGGTAATAATTTTTTTTTGTTTCATTTTTTTTCTCCCTCATATATATCCATATTCATCTCATATGCTGTTATTGTGATTTTACAGAATTCGTAACGATGATGACATCAAAATGAAAATTATCCATAGTATTTTGTTAAATATATTCCTTATTTCTTTTGCTCTCCGCGTCTCGTCTCATTGATTAAAAACAAGCAAAAAAAAATTACAAACTTCGAACTATCAACTACACACACACATACATTACAAACAAACAAACAAGGAACCTATTCACACTTACATCGAAAACATTAAATTTTTCCTGATTGTTTTTATCATCTTGACAACAACGACAACAAACTGTTTGATTTTTTTCAATTTCGTTTCTTTATTACGTTTTCTTGCGTTTCTCTCTCTCGCTCTCACTTGTGTTTTACTGTAAATTTTTTCACACACATACACTCAAAAACAATTACACCTATCCATGAATAATCTTTAAATTATTATTGGAATTGATTGGTTTTTTCATGTGAATCATTCTTTTTTTTCTCACAAATTTTGTTTCTCTTTCTCTTTCATTTTTTTCTGTCAATTTGATTGCAACAAAAGAAAAAGAAAAATTTGAATTTAATATTTAAGATTATGATTATTGATAACTAATCACAGATATTGTATGTGTGTATGTGTATGATGAATAGTGTGGTAATGGCTGTGTATTTCCATCATCATCGTAAATTATGAATATTCTCATTGATGGGTGTGGATTTGTTACCGGATTGGAATCATCCATATCGAATAAATTTGGAACATCGATCTGACCGTGTTTGTGTGTTTTTTTTGTCACAGTTTTGCTATCCATTATCTTCATTCATTCTTTCGTTTTATCTTCAACGAACGATTCCATCATCGAAATAGTGCCATCCATCCATTTCCGTTACAAATGAAATGAAAAAAAACAAACTATTCAACAACCATATATCGGCTGGGAATTGTGGTCAATCATAATTGCAATTGTTCATCGGTTTCGATAAAAGAATCACTCATTTTTCAATTTACAGTTACACACACGCCATGCCTACATACACTCACACACACCTACATCCAAATAACTAAATTTGCACTTAAGTAAAATACCTGTTTGTCATTCAACAACCACAGAAATTTAAAAAAAAAACAAGCACCAAAATCATTTATAATTATGAACAAGCAGCATGTTATAAGCATATAAATATCATGATTTGGTCAGAATTCATTCAAAAAAAAAAATATCAATATCAAAAAATTAAAAAATAACATGAAAACAATCCTAAATCTAAACTAATGATAATTGATATATAATAATAATAATTTCTATTTGTTGTGTTCCATATATTTTTTATCATTCGATTTTCACTTGTCAAAATGTCTCTGAGTTTTTTTGTTTTGTTTAGGCCAGTCAGCCAGTAACAATATATATATATCAGCTAATTGCGTTTGTGTTTCTGATGTTTTTTTTTCTTTTCACTTTTAATGATCAATTCCTTAGTGTGTAGTAACATCATAATGATGATTTTTTTTTGAATCGTACAAACTTGAAGAAAATGAAATTATTATTGAATAGATGGAATGGAATGAAAAAAAAAGAAATATAATGTATCTCGTTTTTTTTATGGCTGTGGATTTGTAAAATTTTTAGGAAATAAAACGGTAAACGCTCAACAATTTAATAATATAGGATGGTGTGTGTGTGCGTGTGTGTGGTGTACATGTGAAATCAAAATCCGACAATTAATCAAATTTTTTTTTATTGTCGCTATTCTTTATCATTTTCTCATAAAATCAAATCAATCATCTGGATTTTTTTTCTAAAATTATAAAATATTATCTATTTACACACAAACAAAATGAAACCACAGCAATCAGCACGATTTCAATCACAAAATATTAAAGAAAACATCTACAACAAATACAGAAAAAAAGCATTTCTACAATTGAATGAAGAATTAGTTCAAACACACACATACATCATACACGTTTAATTATCATCATTAAGAATGAATGAATATTGGCCATAAAAATTAGAATTACAAACAAAATTCAAATTTATACTATTATATATTGTTATTATTTTCAACAGAAAAAAAATCATATTTTATGTTTTCCTTTTTTCTTTCAAATCTAAACTCTTCCATATTTTTTTTTCTCTTTCTTTAATTTAACAAAATAAAAACTATTATTATTATTATTATTATTAAAAAACACATTTTTTCCGTTTTATTTATTTGTTGTTAAAACACAAACAAACACTCACACACCCCCACACACACACACCTACCTAACAATAAATACACACATGACAACAACAAAACAACTTACATGAATGAATGAATGAAATTTTGTGTCATCAATAACCGGAACGGATAAAGCATATACATACACAAACAAATGAGACATGACTACTAAATGATTGATATACAGATCTATGAGAATTTTGACAACAACAACAACAACAAAAAAAAAACATAAAAATGAACAGACCAAAATCATTTATATAATCACAACAAGTTATAATACTTTTTTCTTTGGAGAGAAAAACCAATTTAATGGAATATATTTGAATGAAATGTATACCTGTTTGTGCACGTGTGTGTGTGTGTGTGCATGTGAGTGCTAGTATGTTTGTATCTGATGTCTATTTGAATCATCATGTATCAGTCAAACAAAACAAAAAAAAATTTAATTTATGAAATAAAGTGTCGACTTTGTTTGGATCAAAAATGGAATGATTTTTTTTTACTAAATAATTCAATGATATTCATGAATTCTGGTATTTTAATTTCTGCTATCATCATCGGTTTGATGGAAAATTTTCCGGATTCAATGGATTGCAATTCTTGTTTGAAAACACCTATAGGTTATGTATGGTGTATTTTAATTTTGGTGACTACATCTATCTATATATAATGGTGTATGTTTTTAAATAATTTTTCATTTTTTTTCAAATGGTTGACATTCGAGATGGTTGGCTTACGTTTATGAAATCAGATATTGCATACAACATAAATTTTGTTTTTCTATTTTTAACATTTTCATAGTACAATAATTTATTTACAGTGCATTTTAAGTCCACGCCAACTCAACTAATAAACCAGAAAACAACAAATCCAGATTGTCATACCAGAAACGACAAAATTCAAAAAAAAAATCCTAACCAACACCTGACATATACATGTACAATGGCAGATGGAATTTTTTCAATGGCCGTCCCATATGGCCGATAGTTGAGTTTTGTTTTCATTGTTGAAATCCATCTGTAGCAGAAAAAAAATACCTTCTCTTTTTCTTTGCCTAATACATGTGCGTGTGTTAGAACCATAAAACGATTATATTATATTGTTGAATAACATTAAAATATTTAAATTCATTTAAATAGAAAATAACACTAGCATAAAAGCTAATGAATAAAGTGGTTTCAATCATGATGAACTCTTTTTTTTATCACTTTGTTATTGGTTTAACTTTTGTGAATGGCCAAAAAAAAAGTATCGTTAAAATGGATCATTAGCATCGCATACCAAACACATACACACACACACACACACACACACACACATAAAGCATACTAATAATGATGATGATGATGATAATAGTCACGACATTCCATACTATTTTTACTGTTTGGTTATTGTTCATCAACACAATTGAAATTGTATTTACATTGTAATGTCTAAAAGAGATGCCAAACCATTACATTGTAGGATGATAGAGAGAGAAAAAAAATTTGGGTATTTTGGTTTTCAATAATAATAAACAAACCATAGAAAAAAATGGATTAAACCTTTAATACAATATACCTGAGCTCATTGTTATTGTTTTTGTGTTATAGATGTTGTTAGATGACACACATTTATTTTATTTGTATTATTACATGGTTACCATTTTCATTTTCAAGGAGATTTAGATGTACAGAAAGAAAAAAGGTAGTCAATTTTTATTTTCATTTTCGTTTTCATAATGTTAATATTATTATTATCATTATGATAATAAATATAAATTAGCCTAACGAAACGAAAAAAAAATTTACACATGCATTATTCTTCTTCGTGTGTGTTGTTTGAGTTTGGTTTGTTAGTTTTGTTTTCGCTTATTCCTAGTTAGGTTTTTTCTTTAATCTAAAGCTTAATTCTATATAGAAATCGAAAACACAGTATCCGCTCATCATTATTATGATTATGAGTTTTCAAAAAAACCAAATTATTATTATTATTACTACTGATGAACAATGAATCAACGATAATGATTATTGATTATAAGGAATTTTTTTCTTTTTCGTTTCGATTCTCATTCATAATAATCCACATGATGATGATCTCAATGTGTACCTCGCATACACAATATAGCAATCCATTCAATGATTCTTAATCATCTTTTCTTCATAAAATTCTGAATAACTTTCCTTTTTCTCATTTTTAGGTAATTGGTATTGCATTTGTTTTTTGTTCATTCAAGTGTATGTGTGTGTGTGTTTCAATAGTTCCAAAAACAAACATTAGTTAGACCACACACCACATATGTTTTTGGATCAAAATTATTGCCATTGGATCAATTATTATTATTATTATTCGTAATATTATATACTCTCATCATTGCTTTTCCATTTTATTAAATGTTATGATATGTTTAGTAATAGTTGCTAGGATGCTATATTTATCCATCCATCCAATCTTTTTGAATCAGTTTCATTTCCATGGATATTCACATTAGTGGCATTTTTATTTTTATTTTTCTTTTTGGATTACATACTCATAGCCGAATGCTTTCTTGTATGTAATAATAAAATGAAAATCATTCGATCTTTTTCAATAATAATGATTCGGTAGCATTATTAGTTGGATCTATGATAATAATAATTGTCATATAATTAAATGGCAATGTTTCTTTTGATATACTTTCAATGATCTCATTTGATGATCAAGTTTAGTAAAAGTTTCTATTACATAAAAGTCACTTTTACACACACACACACAGTATAGTCATTTACTTATTCGTGTGTGTAAGTAAATTATTGATAAACTTGAACTAATCGAATCTAATTTATTCTTCACATACGATAGTATCATAGGTTCTGAATTATGTTTGACTTTGAAGATTTGATATCGATATATTTGCTAGCTTATAGTATTTTTTCGTCTTTCAATAAAGTTTTTTTCTTTTTTGCTTTTCAAAATTTGTCACCCATCAAACACAATAGAATTCTTCTATAAATACGAATTTTCTTCATGTTTCACGTATTTTTAACGAAAAAAAAAACAAAATTAAATGTTTTTTCTTACATTTACAATTTAGTGTCTCATATTTGATGCTTCTGGTATATTATTGGACATATGAGAAAAAAAATACAGTAAACAACAAACAAATAACAAGGATGGATGAAAGTTTTTTTCTACCCCGTTGGACAGAAAGAAAAAATAACTGAACAAAAGCTTTGGAACAAACAACAGACCAGACAAATGACAGCCCGAGTTTCTGGTTTCAACCACACATACACATATATATACAAATAATATCTACAATGAATAGAATGTTTCAAAGTTTTCCCATATGGTCGGTTAGTTGGTTAGATGGTTATATATATGGTTGTGAATTTCCTGGCCTAAGTCTGATATATTTTTTTTCATCTCTCTATGTATGCGTGTATGTTTGTTTGTTCCATAAATGACGCTTTCAAAGTCAAGTCTAGTATTCGAAAATAGAATTCTTCTATAAATACGAATTTTCTTCGTGTTTCACGTATTTTTAACGAAAAAAAAAACAAAATTAAATGTTTTTTCTTACATTTACAATTTAGTGTCTCATATTTGATGCTTCTGGTATATTATTGGACATATGAGAAAAAAATACAGTAAACAACTAACAAATAACAAGGATGGATGAAAGTTTTTTTCTACCCCGTTGGACAGAAAGAAAAAATAACTGAACAAAAGCTTTGGAACAAACAACAGACCAGACAAATGACAGCCCGAGTTTCTGGTTTCAACCACACATACACATATATATACAAATAATATCTACAATGAATAGAATGTTTCAAAGTTTTCCCATATGGTCGGTTAGTTGGTTAGATGGTTATATATATGGTTGTGAATTTCCTGGCCTAAGTCTGATATATTTTTTTTCCATCTCTATGTATGCGTGTATGTTTGTTTGTTCCATAAATGACGCTTTCAAAGTCAAGTCTAGTATTCGAAAATATAAAAAATGAACAGAAAAAAAATTGTAAAGGAAATTCTGCCTGGAATGAAAATGAAACATTTTAATCAAGCTAGCCAACAACATCATTGAATGAGCGACGAAATTTCTTGCCATTCCATTTATCTACATTAAACCATTTTTTTGGTTTATTTTTTTTTTGGAAATTTTTTTCAATTCAATCCTCGTTTTGTTGTGGTAAATGTGTATGCGAGTGTGTGAAAACCATTTTGCCCATAAGAATGTTCAAGAGAAAAGTTTTGCAATTTTTTTTTCACCACTGTTGAGTGATTCTGCTGAATTCGGCTGACTCAACATTTGATGAAATCTGAATCAATAGAAACAAAACAAAATGAGAAAAAAATAGGATGCAAAAGAATGTAGAACAAAAAATGAAACAAATGCATTTTTAGGTTTTCGTTAAAAAAAAAAATTTCCATTGATGTTCTACCATGTTATCATTGATCAAATCAAACTGACTGGTTGGCTGGTGGTCCGAAAAAATTTTCTTTTATTTTTTTTTTATGCCGAAACTGCTCTCCATTGCTGCTGTTAATGATTCTCACCAGGCAGTCGCTGCCAGACTTGTTGTTGTTTTGTTTCGTCTTAGGTCCTAGGGTCCTTGATTTTTTTTTCTGTTTCCAAGTTTTTTTTTATTCACTGCTCTTTGCTTCTCAATAAAAATGGATTTTTTTTTTGTAAATTTTCTAACCAAACAAAAATGGAGAAAAAAATTGCAAACTTTTTTTTTGGAACATTATTTTTTCTCACTCTTTGTTGATATGTTTGTCGCATATTGTAAACCAGAATAAAAAACGAATATCAAGAATTGAAAAGGAAACGAAAAAAAAACATTACAAAAATGGAATATATATCCAAAAGAGGGGTGACAAAAAAAAACAATGATCAACGATAAAACAATGTTTTGAAACTTTTGTTGTTTTTGTTGTTATTTTTCTTGTTCTCTTACAATTGTTGTCGTTGTTATGTAGTACAGACAAATGATTTTATGATTCGATGGAACGGATTTTGGCTTATATTATACCCATCATCATCATCATCATTAGGCCTCTAAAACTGTTGTATTTTTTGTTTTTTTTCTTACAATCTGTACTTAGATTTTTTTTTTGTTCACTTTTCATTTACATTCACATCAGTAAAATTGGTTTAAATTGCATGCCAAAATGCAGGAACATTTATTTGTTTGATGGATGTTTCAGGCACGAATTTATTATTTGTTCTTATTGCATCAGTGTATGTATAGATATGAGAAGAATTTTATATATCAAGATGATTTATTCAAATTTAATCACATGTGTACAACATTGATTACGATGGTGATTATATTCAACTTTCCATTAACATAATATCCTTGAAATATCATTTACCACACACACACACACACACACCTGAGACTTTGATATGTCACTTACACACACACAAACATACAAAATATTAGGGCAAACAAACCAAATGTCATACACACACACATGTAGGTTTGCATGTTTGAAAATTATAATTATATTAACTATAGATTTGATGCTGCTGATCTTGTCATTTGGTGAAAAAGAAAAACAGAAAACATACACAGGATGACATTATACAGAATAGAAAAAAAAATCGATTTTTCGAATTGAGTAAGCGAGTAGTTGTCATTCATCCATGCATGGTCCATGAATCGTAACAAGATTACATAATATACGTGCACAAACACACGCACATACAGAATAATGCCTCATTATGATAATGTCATATATTGGACAATTCTATTCAATGCGAAAATGATAATGGCCACAATAATAATGATGATGATAATAATGTCATTCTCTCTCTCTCTCTCTCTCTATTAAGACTGTCATATATGTAGAAATAATAATAATAATAATTTGATCATTGATGGTATACAATAATAACAAAAAGAGGAAAAGGATACTTTTATTTCTCGAAAGAAAAATCAACCGAAACTGTCAAATCGTTGACATAATGTTCCGTTATAATAGTGCGGTTTTAACAAGTTTTTTTTTTCTACCATCCGATTCTACCAATGTAAATTGTCTGGCCTGTCTTTCTATCTTTTTTTTCTCGGTATACGATGACCGAGAAAAAACGAGAGAACGAAAATTTGGTCCAGAATTTTTTTTATTCTCCATTATGTAAGTTGATTGATCATTCCGTGAATAATAATAATATATCCCCACATAATCATAATAAACGTTTTTCGTTAAACACTGAACAAAATGGGGGGGGTAAAATTTTTTTCCGCAATGAATGAAACATGTATGGTACACATATTCGATTCCTATATTTCAATTTTTTTCTCATTTAAAAGAATGACACTTTTTTCTCCACAATTTTTTTTTTTCTCGATTCTGACGTAGAATATCAACACATCAAAAAAAAGTCCGTTTTTCAAAAATAAAATTGTATCCAAAAATCGTTTTTTCTCCGGAATATTGATGTTGAAAAAAAAATTTACATACACACATTTCCTACCGGTTTATTCGATCATCATCTTATTTCAGAATTCAACTTACATGAAATGGCAATTTTAAAATTGAATCCTTTGTTTGTTTACACTGATCCATGATCCAATAATTTGGAATTCTATATAGAAATTTCATTTCATGTCAAAACGGCAAGTTTTTATTTCAAGCTCAAAGACTCAAAAAAATCGATATTTATTCGCTTAAATAAATTCAGTATGAAAAAAAAACAGAAACCAACATTGATTTTATTCATTTAATAAGACGGGATTAAAAGTTTGTGTGTGTTTTTATTATTGTTCTAGAATCTAAATCATGTTGATTTTCATAGAAAAATTCAATGGTGGTTTTTCAAGAAAAAAAAACTTCAAAACTCTCGCTGTTTTAATGGCTAGCAATTACTGTAAAAAAATGATACACTTCATCGAGATCATAAACGGCAACTTGTGTATTGCAAATATTGCAATGGACAGGATAATATTGATCGCCTGTTAAGGATGATGATTGTTCGTCCATTTTATTTTCCTGTTGTAGTCGTTTTTTTCGTTTCTGAAATTTTTTTCGTAACTCATCTTTATTTTTGAAGAATAATTTTCTTTCAAAATCAATACGACAATTCAGTACAAACATTGCACGATATTGTGTTTTATAGATTTCATGTCGTTGACAATCAAGACAAAGTAATGACAAACAACATGGACAATTTAATGTTGCATCACTACGTGGTTTTTTTAGCCGTCTATCTGATTGTAATTTGTTTATACGTTGTTTATCATCTTGATCAACATTTGAATCTGATTCTAATGATGTTATCCTTGATTCATATTGAAATTTTTTCTTATCAATCCATTGTTGATTTGAATCATCTTCATCGGGATCATAAAATAGTTCATCTAATATTTTCTCTTTTTCATCGGCATTGATTTGATTTTCTAATTTATTATTATGATTGCTGCTACTGGGATTATTACTTATAAACGAATCCTTAGGGATAATGGACGTTTGTTGTTGGCCATGATTGTATGTCGATGATTGCTCCGAGAATTTGTTGAAGCATAACGATGTTGATGGAATAACGCCGATAATATTATTGCTGTCGACTACGTGAACTCCATTTACGTGATTACGAGCTTCATTATACATTTCATTTTCAAATTGTTCATTACTATCAACAACAACATCATCATTAACATTGTTACCAATCAATATGTCGTATGTTTCTTTGGTTAAGTGCTCTTTCAATTGAACGATTCGTTGTTTTTGTCGATTATCATTATCATCATTGCCAATGTTGTCGTTATCGTCATCACTTTATGTTTGTTTGTGCGTATTATAAAGAAAAATATGAAAATAGAAAATTGATTAACAATATTGACAACATACATACAAATTAATCAAAAGAAAAATTTTTTTTATGATAATGGAAAATGAAAGCAAAAAAAATGTTAATGAATAAAAATTACTCAATACTCAATTACTCATGCATTATTATTATTATATTTTATTCATTTATTACATTTCATATCGAGTTCTATATAAATGATTGGCTAGAATTTCTATTATCATTCGATATCGTCCAAATAGATCTGTTATGGTTTTTCAGATTGATCAAATAAAGATCAAAAAAAATAAACAAACAAGAAACAGAGAAAAATATAAAGTATGTGTTTGATAATAAAAGAGTTGGAGTCATTCTATTTTTTTTTTTTTTGTCAAGTATGTAATAGATTGATCGTCGGTGTTTATGAAATGAAAATTGATTAAATCCGGTACAAGATCCATTAATATAAAGACTATACTATTATATGTATAAATCAAGAACGAGAAGAAGAAAAAACAAAAAACAGTAGCACATCTCCAGTTCCAGTTGGAATAATGACAGTGAAGCTGCCAGTTGAAGGGGCAAGAACCATATATATAAGTAGTATGCAGAAATGTTTTTGCTGTTTTTATAGTAAGTGAAAAAAATGTTTTTCTATTCATCTTCACCGACTATCGGCAAAAGATTGATTAAGTGATTTTGATTTTTTTTTATTCGATTCAAACTCTTTTATGTCTCTCTGGTTTTTTCATTCGCTTGTGTGTGTGTGTTCATACATAGATATAAAAATAATAACCGATCGGTTGAGTACATTTAAATTATTGTTTGCTTGCCAAAGTATTCAAAGGTAGTAGTAGCAGCAGCAGAAGCAGCCGGGCAATAATAATCTCAAAGGATTTATGAGCAAAAAAAAAATCACGGTACAAGATAATAGAAAATATTTCAGATTTTTTTTTTGTATGGACCAAAACGATAATAAAATTGGAAATTTTCTTCAAAAATTGCAATTTATAATACTAAAAAAGTATATGTGAATTTTCATCTTCACGTTTTGATTGATAGTTCATCATCGGCATGGCTGATTAAAAAGAAAACGACGAAAAAGAAGCGAATCATAATTCAATAATAAGCGAAAGAAACTATACTAATGATAATTCAGCTCCACTTTCAACAAAAAAAAGAAAGAAAAGAATATTATTATATGGATATCAAATTAGAAATTCAACAAAAGATTCTAACTTTTTATTTTTGAAAAGAATCATCGTAAATTTATGGAAATGAAAAAAAAAGAATTTTTCGATTATTTCTCGTTTGGCTATCGTTTGGGAATTGCTAGTCCAATGAAAAGAAAAAAAAATAAGAATAACTATAGAAAGACATATTATTTATATATTCTAGTGAAGTTGTTGTTCGAGTGTGTATGCTTTTTATCAATTCATATCATTACAACCGTTCCTGGAACATTCATTTTATTTTAATTCATTTTTATTCATCCAAAAGAAAGTTTGAAAATAAAAAAAAATCGATTCTTTTCGTCTATTCTTGATCGGAATTATAATCATCATCATGATTGTGATGGGCCATTGTCATGAAATACAGCAGCTGCATCAATGATATTATAAATAAATAAATCATGGAATGGTCATCCATCACAACTAAAAATGAGATGAACAGAAAAAATCTGATTTCCACCAAAACCGATAAAACAGCCTTAAGGGATCAATGAATGATCAATGGTTATTCATTAATCGTTGAATTTTCATTTTAACTTTTTTGGATATGTATATTCAATGCTCAACAGTAATGATGAATGACACTCAGAAGCTCTTGATTGTTGTCATAGTTGTTCTGTGTGTGTGTGTATGTGCTACCCATTATAATTAATTTGAATGAATCGTATCCGTGGTAAATGAGACTCTCATTTTTATTTTTCTTGGAACACATACATTCTTTCTCTACCTACAATCAGGTATATACAATATCGACAGCTTTATCACAAGAGAAAAAATGTGTGTCAGATGGTGATCACAAGATCAAGTTTATGTGGATTTCAACAACAACAACAAAAAAAAATCATAGGATAGAGGGCGGCCTTTGGGAATATTATAGCAAAATGTGTCTTAACGAGAAAAACTACAAAGACGATGATAAGAATAATAAAATAACTATATGAACAAAAGGGCGTCATGAATTTTGATAGTCATCATTTTCGTTTGTTTCAAAACACATCGTTTTCGTTGGTGCCAATATATAACAAATATATTCAACATTTATTGATTCACATTGCAAATTGATGATGACAGTGACGATAATCTTGATGGATACTTTCATCATGAATGGTGATATTTGCAAAAATCATCAAATACATTTACAATTTACTATTCAAAGCCATCAAAATACAGCATGATACAAATTAAGAAAATGGTGGCTTTTGTTCTCAGACACGTTCACACATTGTCTGAAAACGGTCGGTTTACCAATTTGTATTCGAATCTAAATAGAAAGCCGGAACCTATCGGAAAAAATGATTATTCCTTCATTGACAATGTTTGGTTGATTGAATAAAAATACCAAAATTGTTGCTTGAAGCACATTTGTATGATAAATACAAACAAAAACATATACACAAAACTTTGTTTTCTTTGTCTGCAAACAGTTTCACAAAAAGAATAGACAACATTTAACGAAATGGTTATAATGTTAATGTATTGGGCTAACAATTCAATCTAAACTGCAATAATGTTTTTCCCGAAAAACCGGCAAATAAATAGGAATCAATAAACAAACAAACAAACAAAAAAATGACGCCAATCGGTAATAATGAATGAATGAACATAGAAACAAAACAATCCGATCGACCCGAAAAATGTTTGAGACAAAAGTTTTCTCATCGTAGACAGAATAAAAAGATGGTCGAAATTTAGAAAAAGACGGACTAATTGAGCATAAAAAAATATACAGGATAAATCTCTGCAGCAACAATGAAGAATCTTTGCTTAATCATTAAGTTTCTCTAGTTAATTGTATTTAATGAAAATTCCTTGCACAGGTGTGCACACGGTTTGTGTTTGTGTACAAAAAACAAAGAAAGAGAAAGTAAAGTTCAATCAATCAATCAATTCGCTTGAATATGGATCCATTTTTTTTTCTTTTTCTGGAACTGCCATCATATCTGTCTAAATAGATGAATCGATCGACAGCACGACAGCATGAACAGAAAATATATGACAATTTTCTTTTCATCTTCCTACTACTATTAAATACCAGTTTTATGGAAACTTTTTTTTTGCCATTATTTTTATTATTATTCGTGAGTGTCGATGATTCACATTTTTTACTTTCTTTGCTCTCAAAGTATGAGGGTTCTCATCTATGGTAGTCGTGTATGCCAATGTCAATATAAGGCGGGTGAATAGGTGTGCATAAATTATAGCCTTTTAAAATGATTGAAATCGACAATTCTTGATGGTGATTATAATGATAGCTTACAAAGAATGAAAATGATAATTGTGAAGATTGGAAAAATTGTAAATGTAAAATAATTCTTAAAGCGGAAAAAAACAACAATAAAAAGAATGATAAGATTTTTTTGTTTTGTTTCATCAAAAATCTAATTAAGTAAAATGTAAGTCAAATTAAATTTTGATTTCAAATTTCAAATTGAAGGACACAGAAAAAAATCATATCAATCAATAATGTAATGTGAATAGAAAGTTTTCATTTCCAATCAACATTCTTGCGTATAGACATTCTAGATATTTATACTGGATAAATTGATTAGATCAACCAGATTCGGACATCATATATTGGTTGTTTGTTGTATATATTTATTTGTCTGACGTAATCGACGAAACGAAATAAAAAAAAAATATAAGATTCCTCTCTCAAGTCTCCAGAATAGGATTGGAAAATTTATTGGATTTTCATCCTCATCATCATCAACGATGACGATGATTGTTCGATCAATGTTTTTATATTTTTATTTTTAGTATGATATAGTATAGTTCTCTTATCTCGATAATAATAATAATAATAATAATTAGGTGCTAATCGAATCGAATTGCTTTTTGCGTTTTTTTTTTTTTCTTTCACTGTTATTATTGCTTTGGATCGATTCCGACGAAAAAGGCCAGTCCCACACCGACATCGGTAGGAAGCGGCCCCGAAATGATGGCGATAAATTATTGAAACACATTTTACAGCCCGAAGTAATGACCATTTTTTTCCCATAGTCATCATCATTGCCATCAATGTTATCATTGATGATGAAGATAATTCTAACCAAATGCGATATAAACACGAATATTTCATTTTATATTTAGAACAATTTAGATAGGAAAGCAAAATAAAAAGCCAGCACATCTGCAATTGAAATCGAATCAAGGTTAGCAATCATTATTTTATACAATATTAATCTACAATAAAACTACAGTTGGAGCTTTTTCTCTAGATTTGAATCGCATCACTTGGTGTTTACTAGGGTCCGGTATATTATTTTGGTGGCTAATGTTTATTGGAGCAGTCGATCAGATCAACGTCATACATTCAAAGCCATCATGAATTTATGATTAGTTATAAACGAATGAAACTAAGAACGGTAAACACAATAGTCGGCATAACAATAACCAGTGAATCAATGAACGATATTCAAGCATAATGAAAGAAAGAGTATTTAATCAATAATTTTTTTCAATATAATTGATTTAACTAAACTAAATAAATTAACAGTTATTTGAATGATGATCAAAATTTAAATTTCCATTTGCCGATGGTAACCACTCACCTTGAATAAAATGATTCGGCGTCACTTATACCATCCAGAATATCTTCATAATAGCAGTCATCTTGATCCATTTTTAGTTTGTTTTTGTTGTTCCAAAAATGATTCTTGGATTCTTAAATCATGAATGCGTGCAGACCAACGCTTAATACACATTTGTGGAGCTATTCGAGTGGAAATGGACTACACTCTTCTTGGAAAATAAGATTCAATTTTACAAACAATTGAATAAAGATTTTTCAAACTTTTATTTACAATTAAATGTTGATAATGATATTACAATAATGCTGAAATTATAATAAATCATTCTAATCAGATTAGTCTTTAATCAAAAGTTTTACATCATCCGAAATGTTCATATGGTCTGTTCGATTTGATAATGATGAATTAATCGGAAAATTTTGTACAGGTTTCATTGCATAAATATAAATGGCCAGAAAAACTAACGATATTGATATTATCGTATGTATATTGATGATTGTAGAGAACAATAATGAACACAAAATGGCCGATAATAGAATCTCCAATGTAGAAGCAAATGTTTTGAGAATGGAATTGAGATTTTTTAGAAAAAATGAAGTGACTATACCAGCAATTGCTCCATTAAACATTATGAACCATACATACAAATTGGATAATACAGATAAATCAAAAATAACTCCATTGTTTGCCAAAGGATTAGATGTTATCAACAATAATGCTAGATTGCATAGAATTGAATCCAAATACATGAAAATATTTTGCACAATAATATGTACGGCATTTCCATCATTTTTAAGGAGAAATTCATTGTATACGCCGGCAAAAGATGAACAAAAAAGCTGTAGCATTATGAGAAAAAGATTTTTTGACATTAATGCAGATAATATGTTGAATGAATCGGATGATGAAGATTCTATGCTATGTCCAAGTTCTTTGATCATACAGGCAATCGTCAATAAACATAAAGAAAACCATTGCAATGAAGTTAATTTCTTATTGAATAGAATTTGAAAAAGAGAACCAGTTATCACAGTTCGAAATTGTAGCAATATGAAATAAGTAGTCGGATCATAATTGGCCAAATTGATAAAGGCTAAATTATTGTACAGACAATATAAAAATGCTGGTATTAGGTATAATAGACCAATACGGAAACCAGATCTAATTTCATCGAACAATTGCCATATCGATGGCTTATCCTTAAAATACAAGACTAGAGATGTAACTAGTTTGATTAATTCAGTTCCAATCACAACCGTAACGATATTATAATCATATTTATTATTTGTTCCATTATTTTGACTTGCTTTGACCAGAATGCCTGTTGAAAAAATGAATGAATTTTTTAAAATTAATTCTATAAAACTATTGACATACCTTGATTGACAAATAGACAAATGTAAGCGACAAAAATTACCAAACTCAATTTGGTTGGAAAAAGTTGTCCCAAAAAGTTATCCTTAATAGACATATTTTTTTTTTTTGATATTGTTTTGTATTGATATTTTTGGATGACTGAAAATATTAAATTTTTTCGTTACAGCATTTTTTTCGTTGCGATCACATAAGTCAATTTATCCAATCAATTATTTGTCCGATTGTTACATATTACAATAATGTATATGACGATAGTTAAAATAATGATAATGGGGAGTAGTTTTAATCAAATGTTATTTTTGTTTACCGCTGATCATTGTAATGTAATCGAATGATGATGATGATGATCATCAGCATCATTATCGGCTGTTGAATGTACTGTTGAGATGACAATGCGTGTTTCTATGGAGATTTTCTCTCCTTTTTGTGTTTACTCTTTTCAAACAAAACAGCAAAAAAACCTATAGGAAATCATAGAGTCATTATTAATAAATTTTATAAACAAAGAGAATATTTTATTTAAATTCAAAAATTACATCATTTTTTTCGGATTTCATTTGAATCGAATGTTAATGTTAATGATCAAGACCGTATGAATTAAGGCGTTTAGATCGATCACGTATAAGTGAGAAAGCAAATGGATTTATATTCAATTGTTTAGGCATTGCGATTCCTTGAAAACGATAGAATCTTGATCCATTCCTTCTCTTCAATGGATGTATGGCCGACAGATAAATTGAACCGATTTGACTAGTATCGGCAATCAATGGTCCATCGCTCAGTTCGATGTGTTGACCACAACGGTATATAGTGAATTGGCGATTTGCGTCCTGTTTGGTTGATTCTTCAAGCTCTGATAAACGATGAAGATTATTGGCAAATAATTTTGCTGTCATTTCGGCCGATACTTGTATTCGTTCATATCTATGAGCTTTGATCGTTTCATCCCATAGTAGAGATGTTATGGATTGTATTTCTTGAGTAGTCGGTTTCCAATCGCTTAGATTTTCAACCTCAACATCACAAAAGAAACTTCCACCGCTCATATCAGCCATAGGTTTCGAGATAATCTGTACTTGATATTCATCACGAAAAGCTCTCGGTATGACACTGGCCAATAGCATCGAACAACTTCTCCAGAATGCATAATTGACTGGCATACAATCATCGTGTTTGAAATGCAATAATGTCAGCTGACAGGATCGTTCTAGTGGCCGATGCATGTCCCAATATTCATTTCCGTTGATCAAAGCCAATGCAGACCGTTGTTTAAGATTTTGATGAATGTGACTGGCACACTCGTACGGGGTAGATATATTGGCATTCATCATGAGGACATAATCTTCACCATCAGGAAAAGGTTTCTCCAGATTCACTTCAATCTTTTCGAACCTAGTAATAAGAGATTGTTGTCGATGTTTTTCCTTGTCGAACAATTCATTTTTGTATTTGATTGTGCCCTCAACACCGATAAGTTTTTGATTATTACTATCGAGTTCGGATTGTTTTGAAATTCGTTGATCAAACCATGCTGGAGAAACATAATAACCGGCAGGAATAATTCTCCTACCTAAACGATATGATCGCCGTGGAATACGAATAAATTTGAATATTTGAAATAAAGATGTTGAACTGTGTTGCATTTTGATTAATTTTGTTAAAAAATATAAACAAAGATTGTTTTTTTTTGAAAAGAATTCAAGAATATTTCATAAATCACATGGTCAATGATATTCATATACAATGTTACTCTTTGTAATCAAACATAATATTAAGGGGAGTGAGTCAAATTGAACAAAGAAAAATTATCCAATAAGCTAACATCAATCGAACATAACTGGCCAATCGGCGAGCAACTTGCATTTCATTGGGTGTCATTTAAAACTTCATATATTTCAATAAAACAAACATAGAAAGGCGCTATTCGTCTTGTCCAGTCCAGAATTGGCAATTCTTTTTTTTGAAAAAATTAAATTTTTATCTCACTTAAATTCAAACTAGTCCAATTTCGATAGAGAATAATTCGATGGTATGTACAGATAAAAACTAATGAAACATCTATTATAATAAGAAACGATTTATTATCTGATTTAGATGTATCAACAACCGGAAAATTCCAACGATAATTCATTAATGAACGATCAAATGGGTCATACAACGGATAGTTATGATAGTGGCGATAATGATCGCAGTGAATTATTATTACGAGAACAGGACCGTTTCTTACCCATCGCTAATATCTCAAGAATAATGAAGAGATCCATACCAGCTAATGGTAAGATAGCTAAAGAGGCAAAAGAATGCGTACAGGAATGTGTTTCTGAATTCGTTAGCTTCATTACAAGCGAAGCTAGTGATCGATGTAAACAAGAAAAACGTAAAACAATTAATGGTGACGATATCCTGTTTGCTATGTCTATTCTTGGATTTGATAATTACATCGAACCATTGCAACAATATCTAATTAAATATAGAGATTTTATCGTTCGTAATGATAAAGATATCAAGAATATTGATCTCAAAGATGATGTCAGTGATAACTCATCGACCAATCAACATGAAGATGATTCGATTCAATAGTTTTTGATGATAAATTTCTTCATTCTAGCTAACCGTTTTTCCATCTTTTCAATTATTTTTCATCAATTACCCATTATATTTATCGACAATTGTAACATGATTAATCATCATTTTATTTAATTTTTTAATTTTAAATGAAATTCATCTTGCATTATAAAATTTTTATATAATTTCTTCATGGCATCACTTCTTTATGGCATTTTTCTTGAAATAGAACAATATAAACAATCGATAGTATCGTTTTTCCATCAATAATCACATGCAAGCAAATGATTAAAAATAAACGTTTTTTTCATCTAAATTCCAGTCAAGATGAAATTTACGAATCCATTGAATCATGCAAAATATTTTTGGTGGGGTAAAGGTTGGGGTGCAAAACCTCGTAAAAACACCGATCAATTTTACTATAAAATGCAATGGAAAGCTAAAGCTAAACGTCCATTGGAAGTTATCGAACAAACATTACCTGAAGGCGTCAAACCAATTGATCCGAATGTCTATGTTCGACAAGAGATGAATCGAGAATTTCATGATAAATCTAAATTTGAATTACCGTGGCCTTATTCTTATCGACCCATAAAAGGTACGCCTGAAGATCCGAATTACAAACAAGAAGTACTTGTTTTTCATCGAAACAAACGTCTAATCGAACCAATCAATTTACCGCTTCATTTTACAAATTCAATACTTGAAGATGATTTGCCTCAATCTATCCTTAGATTTCAAAGAGAAATTCAATTCGATGATAAATTTGTCGATTATTGTCGACGGAGATTTGAATGGTCACTGCTTAACGATTGTGCAATGCAAAAATTGCCACTCAATCGAGAGTTCCCGTACTTGGATCAACGGCCACCACGTGTATTTGGAACGACCACTAATCGAAAAGAAAATTTGATTCTTCAAACTTTATATGAAATTTCAAATTCATGGACAGCTGAAACATTTGGTTATAACCCAAATCTGATTTCAATGCGAATATCACGACCGCATTGTGTCTATCCGATACATAGGGATGAAAAATATGCCCTACTAGATTTAGAATGCGATTTTGTAACGATATTATCGACGTCATCATCAAACACATCATTGCCATCGATTCCATTTGATCCTGATTATGTAGCAAATGTTTCAGATCGGCCGTTAAAATCTATTTCACCAATTTCCTGGCAGGTTGGATTTGATACTAAAAATTTCTACACAGATGATTTTGAATTTATTATTCCAACTAAATCACAAATTCAGACAATATTCTTATCGAATAATAATGTTCGTATATTAAATGATGAAGATTATCAAGGTCGTGGCATCATGTTTTGTTATGGCTATGCCATGCAACAGGCGAAATTACTAGAAAAACAAGAGCAACAATTCGTTCCACAAACAATTCAATGTCTTTACACTAGTCCAAAAGATTCGATGAAAGTTGGATTCGTTTTATTTCAATTGAATACAGTTACTGGTGATGATTCGACGATTCGAAATCAAGTTTGGCTTAGTGAACCTCGATCAATTTTGGATGATACTCGTTCCATATTGAACGATCTATGCACAATGCAATCATTTCGTTTGGCGAATTTACCCACTTCATGAAAACGTGATTCGTGATCATCATCATCATTTTGATTGTTATTTTTACCATTATGATTCAAATGTTGATTTCTGACTGGTTCTTTTGTTTATTTAATGTGAATAGAAAAAATGGCAAAAAAAATATAATTTACACACTAATAAAAATTGACAATTTCGAAAAAAGGAACGATAATAAAAAAAAATTATCCAAAATTTTGAAACGGGAAACGAAAAACATGAGTCGTCTGAAAGAAAATGTTAACCAATTTAATGATTGATGGTTACATATACCATAACTTACTTAGTTTCTCGAATTTCCGTTCATGATCGAATTATAAATTAAATTGAATTATTTTTTGATTTTAAATACTATAGCTGCTACAAGAACATAGATGAAAAACCACGAACCAGTGACAACAAAACCCATCCAAACACCACTATCCTGTATTGACCATCCTCTCGACAATATATGTCTTAATGTTTCCGTTGGTAAGGTTTGTGGTTGAAAATAACTAAACGAACGTATCCAATGTGGCATTGCTTCTAATGGCCAAATAATACCTTTTGATAAAGAAATTAATAATGTATTTTAAATTATAAATAAAATTGAATTGATAACTTAATACAATAATAATTACCGCTTAAAATTAAATTCGGATAGAAAGATCCAAGGATCATCATGACTGCTGTGTTTTCTTGTTTGCATAAAGCTGATACGACCAAGCCTTAAATAAAATGTAATGAGTGAGTAAAAATAAGTGATAATGAGCCATGATTAAAGCAATGGGAAATAAATTTATCTAATGAATAATGTTATTACCGAATGCCATCCCTGTTGCTCCTTGAAATACTAACAACAAAATTACCAATATGAAAGGGCCACGACTTGGAATGTCAAACACTAGAAAGGTGAATATCAATACCAATAAGATTTGTATACTCATCACACTGATTTGGACCAATGCATGAGAAAATAATATTTGCATAGTATCGACACCAGCCACCAAACTTCGTTCAAATAGTCCATCTAATTCATGAAAATATGAATAAATTGAAATTGATTTATAGATTAAAGGAATGGAAAAAAAATCCAACCTCTCCGTTCAATAATAAAAGCCAATGAAGTTAAACCGGTAGCCATAATGTAGCATATGCTGACAACAACACCTGGAGCCATATATTCAAGATAACCTTGTTTATGTGGATCACCATAAACGGGAAAACCAAGCTTTTTGTAAAAAAAATGAAATTGAAAAAATCACACAGGTAAGTGTAAAGAATTCTAACATACAGCAATCGGTGTTTCTGCAAGCGCTGGATTTTGACCAAACAGATTCAATGTTTCCTGTGCGAATGCTTGGAATGCTTCCCGAAATGTTTTTTCCATAGAAAATGAAATTTGTTGATCTTTATCAATAAAAATAGGATCGTATATGAATTCAAAAGGTTTAATTGAATCCTTTGTTACATACTTGTTAAATCTGGATATATTCGTACTGTACTTGCTTCTATTGTTTCATTATCCACATCTTCACCCATTACCACCCTATTTATTTATGAATGAAGAAAAAGTGTAAATGATTTGAATGGCATAAGACTGATCACAAACCGTTTTTGTAGATTGACCGAAAATTTTTCCGATAGATGAAGAACACCCCACATATCTCCTCGCTTGACTGCAGCTATGGCATCTTCTAATGAGCTAAAATTATGCTAGAAAAACACGTTAAATGTAATGATGATGGTAGAACTTTTTTCCATTAATAATTACCAGTCGAACCGAATTCGGGTCGATTTTACTAAGAAAAAGTTTACTCAAATATGGTGGCTGTTCTTCATTAACTACGGCAACATCTATATCGAATGGCTCTCCTCCGATACATAAGCAGAAAAGGATCACTTGAATAGCAGGTAATAAAAATTGGAACAACAAAAGAGGTATGTTTCGTCTTAAACGGGTAAAATTTTTCCATGCAACAATACACGTCGTAGACCAATATTCATGCCACGTGCTTAATTTGCATGAGTTTTGATTGTATTTTCGACTATAAGATGATGTTGGATATGTTGTTGTAGGATTTGCATATGTGGCTGTTGTATGTGGTATATGGCCATTCATAGTCGTACCATTCATTTGAATTCTATTGGATTTATCATTTGAATTTGTTTTCGTATTATTTTGACAATAACCATTTTCGCTTGTGACCAGATTAATTGTCGAATTATTTGTTGAATGTACAATTGCTGTGGCTGGTGGCGGTGGTGCAGGCGCCAGATCATAGCTTGCTTCCTTATTGGTTATGTATAATGAAAATACTGATGGAAACTATTGATCCGAATCGATACCAAAGATCAAGATCAGATCAATCATTCGAATTATATATAGAATTGTTACATAAAGGTTACAGGATGATGAAATGATTAGAGGTTTGAGTTTGAATTAACAAAACTTACTTTGATTATGTTTTTGAGATCTCCATTGGTTTCAATCTGATTAAATTGTTTTGCGGTAATATTTGGCGACACTGTCGTTTCATTATTAATGGATATGGTATGATTGGTGGTAGCAGCTACTGATGGTGGCACCGGTGGTGATTCATTAACAATCGCTGCCGTTATATTCAAATCACTTCTAGGTATGGCCGTATAATTAGATAATGCAGCCGCTTTAAATGATATATCTGACATGCATAACTTAAGAAATACATCTTCTAATGTATCTAGATTATGATCGACCATTAATTGATCTGGTGAATTTTCAGCTAATAGCCGTCCTTGGCGCATCAATCCAACTACATTTGCTTGCCGTGCTTCTTCAATATAATGTGTTGTTACAATTATGGTAATACGTTCTTTTCTTGTTAATGTAACCAAATGATTCCATATGCTATATAAGTAAATGAAGAGAAAATGACCATTATGATCGTCATTATTATTGAAAAATAATGTAACAAGAAAATCATCATCGATTCAATAAACGATGATCACAAAATGAACTAAAAACGAACCTCTGTCGCAACAATGGATCGACACCGACCGTTGGCTCATCCAATATCAACAATGGTGGTGAATGAACAAGAGCTGCTGCCAATGATACACGACGTTTCTGTCCTCCGCTATATAAAATTTTTTTTACGAAAAGAAATAATATCATTGGAACATCAAAATGACAATGAATGAAATAGAAATGCTTCAGGTTAAACTTATTACGATCAATTTTTTGATATTGTCTCAACTGGAACGTCAAGTGTAACGAAACGAAACGAAACGAAATGATGACAATGACAATGATGATCATCATCATCAAATAAAAAATTTGAAACAGTATTGATTATGTAATTTATTTCTTTTCTCTCGATTTCGATTGATCGATTTTTCCTTGCCATCATCATCGTGTGTGTGTGTGTGTGTGTGTGTGTGTGTGTGGCGATATCATCATTTTAAATACCCGTTTGTATATGGCATGCACAATGGGCAAAACGGTACAATTATCAACGATCTTGATTATGAAATTTTATTTTATTTTTTGCTGTCATTGTTGTTGTTATAACATTGTTTTGTTGGTACTATATTTTTTGCTGAAACATTTTAAAAATTCAACAAGTGGTTGTTATTGTTTTTTTTTACTTGTTTCTTATTGATGATCATTTCCTGGAAAACTCATCTTATCTCATTACTGTTTCGATTTTGTTGATTATTATTATTGTTGACATTTATGAGTGTTTTTTTTCTTTGCAAAAAAACAAGAATGTCGAAATTGTCTTTCTGAAAAACTATTGAAGTGGTGATTTTTTTTCATCTCAATGCATAACAAATTATTGGTCATGTTTTCTGTGATGTTCATTTCAATTAATGCTTGTGATTGAATTTTTTTTTTTTTTTGCTGAAATGAGGCCATAAATAGATGATCATTTCGTCAATGATTTACTTTACTAACTAGATCATAGTAGTAGTATGATAATACTTAACTGGACCTAGGCTACTGCTTCTTATACATTTAAAAATTCGAACAGTTTTATTTTTCAATTTTGTTTCTTCGATTATGATGTTTGTCATTCCATGTTTCGTTTTTTCTGATTGAATTAGCTTCTGTATAAAATTTCAATGGATGAGAAAAAATCAACAAACCTTAAATGTTTCACTAGACGATTTTGGTTTGGCAAATCCAAAAATGAAATTAGAAACAAGATTCTTTCGTTAAGGAATTCAGGACTAAGATTGAATAATCGACCAAAATAATAAAGCATTTCTTCTATTGAAAATTCATCATAGACCGCAACTTCCTGTTTTTGTTTAGAAAAATAAAGACAGAAATTTTAAAAATGAAACAAAAAAAATCGAAAAACAGATAAAACGTTTTCCTACTTGTGGCATGTAACCGACTGATGATCCAGGAATCTGGCTACCCGGCTCGTTTGGTTGATAACCGAATACTCTTACATAACCTTGTTGTGCTTTGATACGACCAACAATACAACGCAACAATGTAGTCTTTCCACATCCGCTTGGTCCGAGTAATCCATATCTAAATAAATTAATCAATCCATTAATCAAGTTGCCTTATTGTTCTTAACATTCATTTCATGTGTGTGTGTGTGTGTGTGTGTGAAAAATGTTTCATTGTTTGTCCTTGACAGTGGAAACGGAACAAACGAATTTTTCTTTTGTGATCACATTCGTTTTATTAGGTCATGATTGAATTTCTTTTCTTCTCTGAAAATTAATGTGATAGCAATTGTAATCGATCGAACCTAGCAATCAATCAATTGTGATCCATCTAATAATCATTCTGTAAATGTCATGATCAAACAACATACACACATACATAAACACACATTAGACATTTTGTTTTGTCTTCCTCTTTCATCGTTCCGTTTTGTCTAAAAATTTTTTTTCCAGATTGTTTGTTTGAATTTATTCATTTATTTGTTTTTTTTTTCTGTGTCACTTATTCACAAGTCTACATTGAAAGTTTTTTTCTCTCATTATTATGACACAGGTAACTATCTCATCTGGAAATCAAGACACACTTGGAAAAAAAATTTCACTTGACAGCTATTGCTAAAACGTATGCATCTGGCATATTGAAAATAAAGAAAAAATATGAA